TGCATACATGTATGTCTGTCTGTATGCAGGCATGCATGTGTACATGTATACATGTATGTATGTATGCATGCATGCATGTATGTATGTATGCATGCATGTATGTGTGTATATTTGCATGTGTGTATGTATGAATGTATGTATGCATGTGTGTCTATATGCAGGCATGTGTGTATGTATGTATATACGCATGAATGTATGCATGTGTATGTATATAGTATGTACGCATGTACGTATGCCTATTGGTATATGTACGTATGTGTGTACATTTTGTCTGTATGTATCGTATATCGATAGTGCGTTTATGTATGCATGCATGCATGCATGTATGTATCTATGTATATATGTATCCCTGCAGGCATGTATGCATGTATGTATGTACGTATGTATTTATGCATGCATATGCATGTATGTATGTATACATGCATGTATATATGTATCTATGTGTGTATGTGTGTATGTCTGCATGAATGTATGTATGTCTGTGTACGTATGCATGTATGTATGTATGTTTATATGTAGTGTGTGTATGTATGTATGTATGTATGTATGTATGCATGGACGTATCTGTGCGTGTGTACGTATGTATGTATCTATGTATGTATGTATATATATATGTACGTGTATGAGTGTATATATATAGGCTGTATGTATTTTCATACAGTGGTTGTCTGTATGACTGTATGTATGTATGTATGCATGCATGCATGTATGTATGTATGTATGCGGGCATGCATGCATGGATGCATGCATGTATGTATGTATGTGTGTAGGTATGTAGGTATGTAGGTACTGTATGTATGCATGCATGTATGTATGTATGTTTGGATGCATGTATGTATATATATATATGTATATGTATATGTTTATGTATATGTATATGTATAGGTATATGTATATGTATACGTATATGTATATGTATATGTATATGTATATGTATATGCATATGTATATATGTATGTATGTATGTATGTATGTATGTACGTACGTACGTACGTATGTATGTATGTATGTATGTATGTATGTATGTATGTATGTATGTATGTATGTATATATGTATGCATGGTTGCATGCTTGCAGGTATGTATGTAGATATGTATGCATGTTTGTATGTGTATATATATATATGTATGTTCATGCATATGTATATGTATATATATATATATGTACATATATATATATATATACATATATATACGCCGGGGGGCGAGGCCCCCTGGCCGCGCCCAGGGACCACGGCGGCGCCTGGGGGGACAGGGGTTCCGAGACCTTTCCCAGATCGCTTCCAAGCGCGCTCCAGGCTCGAAGAACCGCCCTCAAGCGCCTTTCAATCGCTTCCGAACGCGCCACGGGACAGGAAAACACCCCCTAATCGTTCGAAAGGCGGCTCCCAGACGACCCCAGAGCGTTCCAAGATCCTCACGAGACTTCCCGGGACCTGCCCTGGAAGCCTCCGAGGCGCCCAAACGTGAAAATCGCATGGGAATACGTACATTTTCAGCATTCACGCCTGAGCGTTGTTCAATGCGTTCAACACCGCCCAAGAGCCCTCCGAGACTGCCCCAAGACGCCCCAGGAACCCTCCGAGAGAGCCCCAGACGGTCCCAAAGGGCCCAAAGACAGCCCCAAGAACGCCCCAGACGCGCACAAGACAGCCCAAGAGAGCTCCCAGCCGGCGCCAAGAGCAGCCCAAGAGAGGAAGCCCGAGCCCACGGTTCCAACTGCCCGACCCAAGGTGCCCCCAGGAGGCCCCCAGAAGGCCCCAAGAAGCCCCCAGCGGCCCCCCCAAGAGGCGCCTGAGAGGCACCCACAACGCCCCAGAACTCCGACAGGCACGCCCGAAGGCAAGACATTCAGGTTGGAGTCATCACAGTCCGAGTAGGTGTGGCGTTGTAGACAGGATGACGCCCCCGCAATCACCAGTCCGGATCCGCGTCTTGCGTGCGGGGGGGCGAAGTATTGTTGATTAGCATGCTCAATTAGCTTCAAGACTTGGCTGACGATGGTCCTCACGCGTCCTGGTGCCAGACCCAGCCCGCTCAGACACCAGTGACCCACATTCGCGGCAGGATGTGTCTGTTCCCGCGGTCAAAGGCTTCAGGTTGGAGTCTCCACAGTCAGATTACGCGCGGCATTGTACATGCGGTCGCGCCTCTGAATTCACCGACGCTGGCGCCTTCACTTGCTATTCATTTACACAGTTTGCCTGGTTGGACTCAGTGTCTGGCGCCGTCTCTGACGCGCGGGGGACACTGCTATTGAGTTGCATGCTGACTTAGATTCCTAGCCCGGCCATAGGTGACCCTCAGACGTCTTGGGCCCAGACCCAGCCCGCGAAGATAGGGCGGCCCTGATTGGCGCCAGGAACGCTTGCAATGTTCTGTGTCCGTTCTCAACGGCATGCTCCCCGCGTCGCGCGTTGCTTCGAGCGCTTGCCTCGCGCCACGCCGGCCTCCCGCTTCTTCGCCTTTCCCTCCTCCTCCCCTGCTGCTGCTCTCTCTGTTTTCCCTCCTCTTCCTTTTCCTCCTCTTCCTCCTTTCTTCCCCTTCACTCCCCCTTCGCCTTCTCCTTCTCCTACTGCTGCTCCTTCTGCTGCTCTCCTCCTGCTCTCCGCCCGCTCTTCTCTGGTCGCTGCGCTAGCCGTTTTTGGCTGGCTGCTCCCCGAAGGAGCTCTGGCGGGGCTCTTCAGGGTTGCAGCGGTGCTGACTTTGGCGGTGGTGGCGGACAACTAGGGCCAGCTATGACTAGAACCTAAGCGCGCGTAGCGCGCGTGGTTCTAGAATACATCTGTATATACCTTTGTGGGCTCCGGAAACGGCAGGGCCGTTTTTTCACCGTTTCCCAAAACATGTCCCTTGAGGATGGAAACGGCAAAAAAAACGGCGACCGGAAACTGCAAAAAAACGGCTCCAGGATTGGAGCCGGAGCCGGAACCGGTCAAAAGACGGCAACCGAACCGGTAAAACAACGGCGTCGGAACCGGCAGCAAAAACGGCAAAACGGAACCGGCAACAAACGGCCCTTTCGTTTCCAGGGCCCACTAAGGTATATACTCCTACATATATAGATATATACATCTTTGCAAACGTATGTATATATATATATATATATATATATATAGATCGGACTTTGTTCCTCCACCAGGTGCTCGTAGCACTGCTCGTCCTTGAGGCAGATGGCGATGCTGTCGTGCAGGTGCTGGATGCCAGGATGCCTCAATGCTGGATTCATGCTCCAAGCGATGGGACCAATGGCCAGTCAGGTTTCTAAGGTCAAGGGCCACGCGCCAAATAGCCCTGACCTTGCCCCCGAGGCGCGGGCCCACGAGTGGGGCAATCATGCTGCTGGCCAGGCTGCTCGCCTTGCCGCCGCCAGACACCCGAGCCCTGCGCCGTGCGAGGCCGACCGTGCGGCCCGAACCCAGTGCGTCTCCCGTGCTGTGTGTGAGCTGGCTGCCCGTATCATGCCTGTGTGGCTCGCCCTGGGGTTGGCATTAAGAGACCTCCGAGCGGGGCCGGGCGCGGCGGTAGGTCTAAGAGGCTGAGGGGTGCCCAGGAGGTGCCCCCGTGGCCAGATTAGGCTGTTTTCCATCGGCCCGAGACGCTATCAGCCCGTGGCCGCCGCGTACGGTAAAAAGAGGAAGTTATTTCAGAGCATGAGGGATTCTCTGAACATGGCCGGCCAGAGCGAGGCGAAAGCGCAGGCAAAACCCACAACCCCGGGGGCCGCAGGCCCCCCGGGCGCCGCAGGCGCGTTGTTGGTCTTATAGTGTGCTTTCGCAGCGCTCTGGCTGGCCATGGGTTGAGATTTTCCACGGTGAGGTAGAGGCGGCCTTATTTCGTGAGGTATGTGAAATACGCCTTGTTTTACGAGGTGGAATTCTGAAATGCAATGATCTGACCAGACACCGGCGGCCGCCAGATCGCCGAGCTCTACCTGCGCCGCGGCGGCGCAGCGGCCGGCGGCGCCCCGCTGGAGGCGTGAGATGCGCTTGCGCGTGCACCTGCGTCTGTGTGTGTGTGTGTGTGTCAGTGTTGCCGCGGTTCGGTTCGGTTTCGGTTTTGGACAAAACCGGTTTTGGCAAACACGGTTCGGTTTTGTCCGGTTCGGTTTTCGGCTCGGTTCGGTTCGGTTCGGTTTTCGGTTTTGGTATCGTTCGGTTCGGTTCGGTTCGGTTTCGGCGTTGGGCATAATCGGTTGTGGCAAACACAGTTTGGTTCCGTCCGGTCCGGTTTTCGGCTCGGTCCGGTTCAGTTCGGTTTTCGGTTTTGGCATCGTTCGGTTCGGTTCGGTTTTTTGTTCGGGCCAGTTCGGTTCGATTCGGTTTTCGTTTCGGTTCGGTTTTGTCTGGTTCGGCTTTCAAATCGGATCAGTTCAATGTTGTTCGGTTTTCGGTTCGGTTTTTGCTCAGCTCCCATATCGGTTCGGGCTCCGGAGGGTCAGAGAAGCTCCCGCAGAACAACCCCTGGGGCCTCAAAGGCCCCAGAGGACCCTTGAACATGGGTCATTATGATTAAGCGTAACAAATAATAATGCAGCAGACAACGGGAAGGTTTTCGGTTAGGTTCGATTTTTGGGGCTGTTTCGTGTCGGTTCGGTTCGGTTAGGTTTTTGGCTCGGTCCGGTTCAGTTCGGTTTTTGTATTCCACCCAAACGGTTCGGTTCGGTTCGGTTCGGTTTTGTTTATCCGATTCGCTTGATTCGGTTCGGTTTGGTTTGCCGAACCGGCGTTTCAGGCATCGGTTCGGTTCGGTTCGGTTTGGTTTTCGACTCGGTCCAGTTCAGTTTGGTTCGGTTCGGTTTTGATATTCCACCCATTCGGTTCGGTTCGGTTCGGTTCGGTTCATCCCGTTTGTTCGGTTCGATTCGGCTCGGTTCGCGGAACCAGCGTTTCAGGCATCGGTTCGGTTCGGTTCGGGAACCATCCGGTTAATCGATTTTGGTTTGGTTCCCGGCAGTCAAGGTGTGTGTGTGTGTGTGTGCGTGCGTGCCTGTGTGTCCGTAGCCAATTTGGGCTCACGGCATTGGCCCAAGCGTGCTCTCAGAGGTGGTCTTGCCCCGCCAAGCGTCCGGCGCTCCGATGGGCCAGAAGATCGCTTGCGAGGCCGCATGCTGCAGACAAGGGGAGGGCGACGCCAACGAGTTGATGGTGGGCAGTGAGGCGGTCCAACCTGCGCACAAGCAGAAGCTCGGCAGCATCCCGGGCGCCAACACCACGGCCCTCGCCGCGCCCAACACCAGCGCCCCTCGCCAAGGCACCGTTGCGCTCGAAGTTGCTGTCCAGGACGACTCGCCTGCGGGCGAGAAGGCCGGAGAGCTGGAGCGCTCTTCGGAGGCCGACATCGCGGAGCTCAGGGGTGGACGAAACGATGACAATCAGAAACATGCGATTTAGTCAACATGTTATATTGTTTTAGTAAATCCCGCTTTGACTATCCTTACCGCCTCTTGCCGCAGGTATTCCATTTTGCATCCAAAAGTCAGCAATCCTATGCTCAAAAAAACACGTCGGTCAAAACAACAATGCTTAAGTTTCAAGGGGCCCCATGCCAGCAACACTGGGCAAAGAAGCCGGTAAACTACTACATGCACACCTTGACTCAAGCCAAAAAGCGCTCCCTTGTCATTTGGTTTCAGGCGCAGGGCGCTTTAAGGTCCTTGGGGTGTTGCGCAATTTTGGCGACTAAGGCCCCCCCAAAGGCTTCTCCCAAAAGCTTCCCCCAAAGGTTCCCCAAAGGCTCCCCCAAAGGCTCCCCCCAAAGCCCCAAAACTCCCCAAGGGCTTCCCCCCAAAGGCTCCGAGCAAACAGCCTAAAGTTGGGCTTCCCAGTTTCAGAAACGCGGGTTTTAAGCAATTTTAAGCAAATTCACAAGGGTGTGAATTTGCTGAAATACCGAACGAGACGACAATCTGAGCACACTTAAGGTGACATGTTTGCGACCTGGCAAATCAAACACACGACGGTTTTAAGCAAAAGTAAGAAAATTCACAACCGTGTGAATTTGTTTACGTTTGCTTAAAACCGTCGTGTGTCTGATTTGCCGGGTCGCATGTCATGGTAAGTGTGCTCGGGTTGGCGTCTCGTTCGAGTTTGAAGCAATTTCACACCGAACAATTTGCGTCGAATTGCTTAACACCAGCGTTTCTGAAACTGGGAGGCCCAATTTTGAGCTGGTTGCCCTCCATCAAACATGTCATCTTATTTTGGTTTTAAGTATTTTGCCACTTTTGCGAATTTGCTTAAAGCATCCCCAAAATATTGAAATCTTCGAGCTTTGCCTCCGGATGTTGTCTGTGTTGCCCCTTTCCGAGCCCTTCAGAGTCTCTGCCGGACCGCCCCCAAGCCAGCCACCAAAGCTCCCATCGAAGACAAACACCTAAAACACAGATTTGTGAAAATACTTAATGATTTTGGGGACCCTATGGGCACCCCATGGGTACCCCATGGGGACCCCACCCCGGACCCAACCTGGACCCACCCCGGACCCATCCCGGACCGAGGGGGTCTGGAAGATTATTTCAAGCATTTTTAAGCAATCTTCTGGGGTTGGCTGGGTTCGCGGTGGGTTTGGGCCGGTCGGGCTGCGCATGTGTGTGCGCATGTGAATGTGTATGTGAATGTGTATGTGTATGTCTGTATGTGTGTGTGTGTGTTTGTCGCTCTGTGACATTCTACACGACTGAAACAGCGTCTGCAGAAGTCGCTTGGCAGCCCAAAAAGTGTGTGTGTGTGTGCCTGTCCGTGTGCGTGTGCGTTGCGTTCGCGCGCGCGCGCGCGCGTGTGTGTGTGTGTGTGTGTGTGTGTGTGTGTGTGTGTGTGTGTGCGTTGTGTGTATGTGCTTGCGTGTGCGCAGGTGCATGCGCGTACCAATCTGCATGTGTATGAGAGTATGTGTATGTATGTCTGTGTAGCCACCCATATACACACAATCACATACAGACAGATATACATACACGCACACACATACACATACACATACACACATACCCCCACATACGTATACACGTACACATTCATGGATATGAGATACGCGCACGCACATGCACATACACACATACACATGCACGCGCACATGCATATACACACAGGCACACACAGACACACGCACATACTAATTACATTATCTGGGCACACAGGCACACACAGGCAGTACGACTGGGCATGCATCAGCACATGCACATACATACGCACACGCTCAACATGGCCCGCTACACTGACACATGCATATGCACGTGTACCTACACACATATACACATACATCTACGCAGGCACACACACATACACGTACACACAGGCATACACACATGCATGCACACAAAGGCACATACACATACGCAGACACATACGCATGCACATCATATCTGAGCATGCGTAGACACAAATACACATGCAGGGACGAATGCGATTTGCGCGTACATGTGTATGCATGTATATGCATGCATGCGTGCATACATGCGTGCGCGTGAACACGCGCGCAATCTTAGGAGCGGCTAGACTTTTGGCATCCAGCTTTGGTGTCGCAGACAATTTGCCATGGCGCTGGCATTGGCCAGCTGTTTTTGAATTGCGGGGGCGAAGGCAGAACTAGCGCAGCTAAACCGAAGAGGAAAATTTAGGTATTTGTTGAGATTTGGGTTGTTGACTTTCTGGTAACCCTCCTTTTTTGTTTTTTTCGCTGATTTACCAAATGTCTAATGAATCATTGTCTGGTTTTGTATTTTTTTGCGTTTGGTATTGGTATCGCTTCTTTTGCTCCTTAGGAGCTGCTCGGCTGGCGGCAGGCGGCGGTGGTGCCGCGGCCGCCGGCGCCGGTGGTGCTGCAGCTGGGCCTCAAGGGCTTCCTGCAGCGGAAGCGGCTCGTCGCCGACGGCCATCAACTGACGAAGCGGGTCACCAGCTTCCTCGGCGACGTCGCGGCGAATCACCAGGACCTGCCGATGGCGGAGCTGATGAAGCCGGGGGCGGACTGGAGCGGCTTCGCGCACCTCCAGCTCAGCCGCGTGCAGGCTGTCAGCGATCTCGGGGGCCCGCGCATGAAGATCGTCTCCTGGCGCTCGCTGGCGCACCTCGGCCGCCTGCCGAAGTTCCCGGACGACCGGGCGCACGTGCTGGACGCCGAGGAGCTGCTCAAGGCCTTCATCGCCGGCATGGACTCGAAGGGCAAGGTCGAGGGCCGCATTGCCTGCCTCTCGATGTTCTCGCACTGCTGGGAGCGGCCCGACATGGACCCGCTCAAGGCGCACCCGGACACGCCGGACAACAAGAAGGCGGCGGCGCTCGCCCATTACGGCAAGCAGGGCGTCTGCCCCTACTTCGAGCCCCACCACAAGTTCGACTACTACTTCTGGTTCGACTTCGCGGGCGTCCACCAGACCTGCTCGCGGCAGAAGTACCTCGGCATCGTGAAGTTGCCGGCCATCGTGGCGGCGTGCACGGAGATGGTCTTCTACTGGTCCTCGACGGGGGACTACGAGCCGCGCGCCTGGACGCGCATCGAGCGCATGCTCGGGTTCTGCTTCACAATCAGCCCGCTCTTCGTCTTCATCTCGGACAGCTACCCGAACGGGCGCGTCGACGCGGCCCAACTCGTCGCCGACGCGCCGGAGGTCTTCGTCGCCGACCCGGAGGTCCAGGGCGGCCTCTGCATGCTCATCAAGGACCCATTTGGCCCAGACGCGCAGATCACAGACGTCCAGGACAAGGAGTTCCTCCGCCGTCTGATGGACGCCTGCGGGTCGTCGCTGCCGATCAACCCGCAGATGAAGGGCATGACGATGGGGAGCGTCGAGTTCGGCAAGACCTTCATCCGCGTCGACACGGAGCACTTCCGCATCGACGCCGAGGCGGAGGAGCACATCCGGCTGCAGCGCAGAGCCCTGAACTCGTGAGGGGGCTTGGGGGCCTGGGGCCTCTGCCCGCTGGGGCCTCGGGGCCTGGCGCCTGGGAGCTGGCGCCGAGGCCCTGGCCGCCTGGGGCCTGCCGGCGGGCCTGCCGGCGGGCCTGCCAGCGGCATGCCTGCAGCCTCCGGCGGCCATCCTGCTCCGCGTGATAGATACGTGTACTCCAGATTTCGTAATAAAGGGAGGGGGGTCTCATTTCGGGGGGGGGTCTCTTCCAGGCTATCTTGGAGGGCCTGGGGGGTCTGGGGATGATGTTTTGGAGGGTTCTCCCACGGGGGAGGTCTGAAATGGCTTGCCCTGGAGGGTCCAGACCCCCTCCCTTTTATTGCGAAATCTGGAGTACGCGCGGAGCGCGCCCAGTCTTGGCCGGCTGGCCAAGGTAGACTCACCGGACTGTGCTGCCTTTTTGGCTCAAGGCCTCGCTGGGCCCATTGAGCCAGAAAGGTTTTCTCCCACCCAACCCGCCCTCAACGGGGTATCGGAGAGGGGGACAGGTTCGGGCATGCGCGATATCCGCGCAGCGTTCCGAACAGAGTGAGGTGGTTCGTCCCTGGGCAAGCACCTTTGTGTCTGTGCATGCGCATGTGCATGTCTCCGGCCCCATCTCCGTCTCCGTCTCTCTCCCTCTCTTGCTGTCTCTGCCTCCTTTCTCTCTTCCTCGGCCTCGGTCTTTGTCTCTGCCTCTGTCGCGGACTCTCTCTCTCTCTGTCTCGCTTGCTCGCTCGCTCTCGCTCTCTCTGCCTCTGTATGTCTGTCTCTCCATGTCTATGTCTGCTATGTCTATGTCTCTCTCTCTCTCTTTTTCTCTTTCTCTTTCTCTTTCTCTGCCTCGCTCTCTGTCCCACTCTCTGTCCTGAGTTTTTTGCTCTCTCCCTCTCTCTCTCTCGTGCTTGCTCTCTCTGTCTCTGCTGGTTCCTGCCTCTGCCTCTGCCTCTGCCTTTGCCTTCGCCTCTGCCTGCCTCTGTCTTGGCTCTCTCTCTCTCTCTGTGCTTGCCTCTGCCGTCTCTGTCTCCATCGCCGCATCCTTCTCAGCCCGCTGTCTCCGTCTCCATCGCTGTCTCTGTCTGTGTCTCGATCTCCGTCTGCCTATATGTATGATTATGTGACATGTGTACATACTGTACACGCGTATGTGTGTGTATCGCGGGCGTGCGAGCCCATGTGTACGGGTCCGCATCTAGGGCAGAAAGCTCATGGCGTAGACGCTTACATATATTTCCGGACGGATTCAGACTTGCTCACCGCGGGCTCGCTTTGAAGACATTAGTCGGTTATTTCAGAACCTGCGTGAAGACATGTTCGGCCAGAGCGAGGCGAAAGCGCATGCATAACCTACACCCTTGGGGCGCCGCGGGCGCGTTGTGGGTTTTGGAGTGCCCTTTCGAAGCTCTCTGGCCGGCCATGTGTTGAGATTTCCCGCGGTGAGGTAGAGGCCGCCTCATTTCGCGAGAGGAAGGGGAACATCGTAGGTGTTTCATGAGGGGTATTTCTGAATGACCATGGTTTTACCAGATGAAGCAGCAGTTCTTCCGCGGCCTCGGCGACGTGCGGGCCGATGCTCTTTCAACGGGTTTTCCAACGGTGTCCACGCTTTCAAAGGGTATCCAATGGCTTTCAACGGGTTTCCAAAGGCGTTCAAAGGGTACGGCCAATTTCCCTACTAAGAATTTCCCTACTAAGAACTTTGCCCCCCCAAATCCCCGGGAAACTGCTCAAAATCCGACCCATTAAATTTAAGAAAATGCTGGGGCAAGCCCAGGGCGAATTCTTACATTTAACGGGTGGCCCCACGGTTGTCGTTTAAGAATTTTGGGGGCAAACCCCCCAAACCCCATTTTCTTAGTAGGGAAATTGACAGTATCCAAGGGCTTTCAAAGGGTATCCAAGGGCTTTCAAAGGGTATCCAAGGGTCTTCAAAGGGTCTGCAAGAGTTGTCACTGTGCTTCCAAGGGTCTTCAAGGGGCTTCCAAGGATTTTCAAAGGAAAACCCTTGCAAACCCTTCGAGAACCCTTGAACACCCTATGAGAATCCTTGGAACCCCCATGAGAACCCTTGGAAGCCCTTCGAAAACCCTTGGAAGCCCTTCGGAAACGCTTCGAAAGAGCTTCGGCATCGCGGACATCAAACTGTATTCTTGCCACCGGGCCTGCGTGCCAACATGAATGCACGGCACTATTCATAGGTACAGCGAATTTTCTTCTCGGGAAGTGTATTTTCAACAAACTGAGTAACTTGAGTAAATTGAGTAATCCCCACCTCCCGTTAATACGCCCCCCCCGTCACCCATTCTATTGACCAACATCGGCTTATTCACGTGTTTTCACTTTTTACGCCACTTATGGGCCCCACATGCGCAGCTAATTTTAGCCCCGATCAGCCCCGAGGTTCATTCACGAAAACGGCAATTGCCGGGAAGAGGTTTATTCACAGAACCGGAGATGCAAGGCCAGACAAATATTACGGTACACTTGGATCCCGGGGCGCTTTTGGATTTAGCTGGCCGGTTGCCGGCGAAAGGTTTATTCAAGGTTTATTGCCGATCTCGGAAAACGGTTTATTCACCCCTCAGGAGCCAGAGGTTTATTAACATGGAGTTTTATTAACGCGAGGTGGGGATTACACGACACTATTCATAGGTGCAGCGAGTTGTCCTCTCGGGATGTGTATATTCAACAAACTGAGTAACTCGAGTAAATTGAGTAATTTGAGCAGGTTAGATATTGCGTAATGACGGTTTCGCACATCTGCCATCCCCAAGCAGCTTAAGGAACAAAAACAACAACCTTCCTAAAACCTTCCTCAGGAAGAATTCGTGATTTCTGGAACCTTCAAAAAAACCGTCTTAAAACCTCCTTCAGGTAGAACGCAGGATTCCTGGGACCTTCCAAACAACCTTCCTACAACCTTCCTCGTGAAGAATCCAGGGTTCCTGAACCTTCCAACTTAGAGCCTCGACAAAAAGGATTCCTATAGGAATCCAGTACAGAAGCGTTCTATTGAAAGCCAACACGAACGGATTCCTGTTGAGAGCCTCTACAAAAGGATTCCTAATGAGAGCCTCCACAAAAATATTCAGAGCCTCTACGCAAGAATTCCTATTGAGAGCCTCTACAACTTAGTTCTTATTGAGAGCCTGTGCAAAAAAGGATTCCTGTTGAGAGCCTTTACAAGAGGGTTCCTATTGAGAGCCTCTACCAAAGGATTCCTATCGAAACTCCATACAAATGTATTCATATTGAGAGCCTGTGCAACAGGATTCTTCCTATTGAGAGCCTGTGCAAGAGGATTCTGGTTGAAAGCCAATGCACAAGTATTATTATGGAGAGCCTCTACACAAGGATTTCAATTGAGAACATCTACGAACGGATTCCGAACGAAAGCCCACACAAAAAAATGATTATTGTTGAGAGCCTCTACAAAAGGATTCTTAGCGAGAGTCTCTACCAAAGGATTCTCATTGAAAACCTTTACACAAGGATTCCTATTGTAAGCTTCTACAGGAGGTCTCCGATCGCAACTTCTTACCTTCCTAAGACCTTCCACAGGAAGAATTCAGGATTCCTCGAACCTTCAAAAAACCATCCTAACACCTTCCTCCAGGAGAATCCGTAATTCCTGAAACCTTACAACCATCCTTCCTAAAAAAAACCTTCTTCTGGAAAAATCCAGGATTCTTGGGCCCTTTCAAAACAACCGTCCTAAAACTTTGTTCAGGAATAACCCAGGATTCCTGAAACCTTTCGTACAACAGACCTTCGTAAAACCGTCGTCGGGAAATATCCAGGATTCCTAGAACCTTTCAAACAACCTTCCTAAAACCTTCCTCTGGAAGAATCCGTGATTCCTGGAATCTTCAACACACCTTCCTAAAGCTTCGTTCAGGAAGAATCCAGGATTCCTGGAACATTCCAAGCAACAAATGTCAAAACCTTCCTCAGGAATAACTCAGGATTCGTAGAACCTCCCAAACAAACCGTCCTAAAACCTTCGTCAGGAAGAATTTGCTATCCCTGGTACCTTCCAACTGAAAGCCTCTACAAACGGATTCCTATTGAAACGCAATACAGAAGGAGTCCTAGTGAAAACCAATACAACAAGGATTCCTATTCAGAGCCTCTGCGCAATAATTCCTATTGAGAGCCTCCACAAGCACGGTTCTGATTGAGAGCATCTACCCAAGGAGTCCTATTGAGAGCCTCTACACAATGATTCCGATTGAAAGCCTTTACACAAGGATTCCTATTGATAGCTTCTACACAAAGGATTCCTATTGAAAACCAGTGCAGCAAGGATTCCTCTTGACACCCAGTACACAGGTGTTCCAAGTGAAAGCCTGTGCAAAGGATTCCTGTTGAGAGCCTCCACAACAATATTCACATTGAGAGCCCCTGCAAAAAAGGATTCCGATCGAGAGCCTCTACACAGTTATTCCTATTGAAAGCCTCTACACAAATGGTTCCCATCGGAAGCCAATACAAACTGATTAGTATTGTGACGCAATATACATGGCTTCCTATTGGGAGCCTGTGCAACAGGTTTCCTGTTGAGAGCCTCCACGATACTATTCCCATTGACAGCCTCTACAACATGACCCCTATTGAAAACCTCTGCACACACATTCCGACTGAGAGCCTCTGCACAAAGGATTCGTGTGGAAAGCCCATGCAAAAAGAACAAAGATTACCCTGTGACGTACCCAACCCATTTGTATCATGGGAAACGAGGAGTTGGCCGAAACTTGCACGGACCATCGATTTGCAGGATCCGTTGTTTGATATGTATGCTACTTGGGACACGCGCCAATGGCATGATGCGCAGGAGAACCATACAAGGACGATGGGCGGCAACTACAGGCTCGAAGAAGACATGGGGAGCCGGGAACGAACAGCAGGAGAACGACGTGCGGGAAGCCCACTGTGCTGGGCCCCTCATCAGCCCTCGAAAGTGGCGGCAGTTTCACAGATCGCAGCCCCCAAGGATGGCGAGGTCTAGTATGAGTCTGCGGTGAGTACCCACTGTGCTGGGCCCCTCAGCAGCCCTCGAAAGGGGCGACAGTTTCACAGACCGCAGCCCCCCAGGGATGGCGAGGTCTAGTCTGGGTCTGCGGTGAGTGCCCACTGTGCTGGCCCCCTCAGCAGCCCTCGCAAGTGGCGACAGTTTCACAGATCGCAGCCCCCCAGGGATGGCGAGGTCCCATTTGAGTCTGCGGTGAGTACCCACTGTGCTGGGCCCCCCAGCAGCCCCCGAAAGTGACGGTTTCACAGATCGCAGCCCCCCATAGACGGCGAGGTTCCATTTGAGTCTGCGGTGAGTACCCACTGTGCTGGGCTCCCAGAAGCCCTCGAAAGTGGCGACAGTTTCACAGATCGCAGCCCCCCAGGGATGGCGAGGTCACATTTGAGTAAGAAAGTTGCGACAGTTTCACATATCGCAGCCCCCCAGGGATGGCGAGGTCTAGTTGGAACCCGCCGTGAGCACCCACTGTGCTGGGCCCCCCAGCAGCCCTCGAAAGTTGCGACAATTTCACAGATCGCAGCCCCCCAGGGACGGCGAGGTCCCATTTGAACACGCCGTGGGTGCCCTCTGTGCTGGGCCCCCCAGCAGCCCTCGAAAGTGGCGACAGTTTCACAGATCGCAGCCCCCCAGGGATGGCGAGGTCCCATTTGAATCCGCGTGGGTGCCCACTGTGCTGGGCCCCCCAGCAGCCCTCGAAAGTGGCGACAGTTTCACAGATCGCAGCCCCCCAGGGATGGCGAGGTCCCATTTGAATCCGCCGTGGGTACCCACTGTGCTGGGCCCCCCAGCAGCCCTCGAAAGTGGCGACAGTTTCACAGATCGCAGCCCCCCAGGGATGGCGAGGTCCCATTTGAATCCGCCGTGGGTGCCCACTGTGCTGGGCCCCCCAGCAGCCCTCGAAAGTGGCGACAGTTTCACAGATCGCAGCTCCCATTTGAATCCGCCGTGGGTGCCCACTGTGCTGGGCCCCCAGCAGCCCTCGAAAGTGGCGACAGTTTCACAGATCGCAGCCCCCCAGGGATGGCGAGGTCCCATTTGAGTCCGCCGTGGGTACCCACTGTGCTGGGCCCCCCAGCAGCCCTCGAAAGTGGCGACTGTTTCACAGATCGCAGCCCCCCAGGGATGGCGAGGTCCCATTTGAATCCGCCGTGGGTACCCTCTGTGCTGGGCTCCCCAGCAGCCCTCGAACGAGGCGACCGTTGAACATACCGCAGCCCCCCAGGGATGGCGAGGTCCCATTTGAATCCGCCGTGGGTGCCCAGTGTGCTGGGCCCCCCAGCAGCCCTCGAAAGTGGCGACAGTTTCACAAATCGCAGCCCCCCAGGGATGGCGAGGTCCCATTTGAATCCGCCGTGGGTGCCCACTGTGCTGGGCGCCCCAGCAGCCCCCGAAAGTGGCGACAGTTTCGCAGATCGCAGCCCCCCAGCTGGCACGCAGCGACGAACGAGGCGAAAGGCAGGGGGGAAGAGAGGGACGGGAGGCGGGAAGGAAGGTTCGCGCGAGCAGTGCTTTTTCAAAACGAGAGCCCAACGCAAGAGGGTTGGGAATTATTATTGAAACGCAGTACAACTGGCATCCTATTGGGAGCCTGTGCAACAGTATTCCTGCTGAGGGCCTCCACGAACATATTCCCATTGAGAGCCTCTACGAACTGATTCCTATAGGGAGCCTCCACAAAAAGGATTCCTAGTGAGAGCCTTTACACCATGATTCCTATTGAGAGCCTGTGCAACAGGATTCTTACTGAGAGCGTCTATAACATAATTCCCATTGTGAGCTTCTACGAAACACGATTCCAATCGAACGCCAATACAAAGAGGATACCTATTTAAACCCAATACACATGGATTCCTATAGAGAGCCTGTGCAAAAGGATTCCTGTTGATAGCCTCCACAACAGGATTCCTAATGGGAGCCTCTACACAATGATTCCTGTTGAGAGTCTCTACAACATGATTCCTACCGAAAACCTCTACGCAAGGATTCCTATTCAGAGCCTGTGCGAAAATAGTCCCCATTGAAAGTCAATGCAAAGCGATCCGTATTGTAACGCGATACACATGGCTTCCTGTTGAGAGCCTGTGCAAAAGGATTCCTGTTGCGAGCCTTGACGACGGAATTCCAATTCAGGGCCTCTACACCATATTCCCAGTGAAATCAAATACAAAAAAGGATTCCCATTGAGAGCTTCTACAAAAATATTACAGAGCTTCCACGCGAGGATTCCTATTGAGGGCCTCTACACAAGGATTTCTATTGAGAGCCTCTACGCAAGGATTCCTATTCAGAGCCTCTGCAAACGGATTCCTGTTGAGAGCCTCCACAAAAAGGATGCTTAATTATAATCCGGTACACATGGATTCCTTTTGGGGGCCTGTGAAAACAAAGGTTTCTTGTTGAGAGCCTCGACAGAAGGATTCCGATTGAGAGCATCTACAAAAGGACTCCGAATGAAAGCCCATACAAAAAGGATTCTCATTGAAACCCAATACACATGTATTCCTATTGAGAACCTCCACAAAAGGATTCCTATTGAGAGCCTCCACAAAAAGGATTCTGATTGAGAGCCTTTACAAAAAGGGTTCCTATTGAGCGTCTCTACAAAAGTATTACTACTGAAAGCCTCTACACAAGGATTCCTATTGAGAGCTTCTACAAGAATATTTTCCATCGAGAGCCAATACAACATGGATTCCTATTGACACCCAATACACATGTATTCCTCTTGAGAGCCTCTACAGAAGGACTCCCATCGAAATCCTTCACCTTACGAAAATCACCCTCCGGAAAAATCCCGGATTCGTGGGACCTTTTTTAGAAATGTCTTGGAGTTTTCCGCGGGAAGAATTCAGGATTCCTGGAACCTTCAAAAAAAAACGTTCTGAAACCTTCCTCAGGAAGAACCCAGGATTCCTGAGACCTTACAACAAACCGTCCGAAAACGTTCCTCGCGAAGATTCCAGGATTCCTGGAACCTTCGAAGAAAACCTTCCTAAAATCTTCCTCAGGAAGAACCCAGGATTCCTGAAACCTTCCAATTGAGAGCCTCTACGAAAGGATTCATATTGAAAGCCTCTACAAAAGGATTCGTATTGAGAGCCTCTGCAAAAAGGATTCCTATTGAGAGCCTGTGCAAAAGGATTCTTAATGAGAGCCCCCCCCAAAAAAGGATTCTTATTAAGGGGCCTCTACAGAAGGATTCCTAGTGAGAGCCTCTACGAAAGGATTCTTGTCGAGACCCTTTTACAAAAGGCCTTCCTAAAACCTTCACCAGGAAGAAGCCGGGACTCCTGGAACCTTCAGGGGAAAAAAAAAACGTCCTTGAGACCTTCCTCCGGAAGATTCCATGATTTTTGGTACCTTCTCAAACAACCTTCTTAAAACCTTCCTCTGGAAGATTCCAGGATTCGTGGGATCTTGCAACAACCTTTTTCGAACATGCCTCAGGATGAATCCAGGATTCCTGTAACCTTCCAAAAATCTTAAAACCTTCCTCAGGAAGACTCAAGGACTCCTGGAACCTTCTAAACAAAACCTTCCTGAAACCCTCCTCACGAAGAGCCCAGGATTCCTGGGACCTTCCCAAAAACCTTCTGAAAACTTTCCTCATCAAGAATTCAGGATTCCTGGAGCCTCCCAAACAACCGTCCGAACACCTTCCTCCGGGAGAATCTTGGATTCCTGGAACCTTACCCCAAAACAAACATCCTAAAACCTTCCTCCGGAAGAATTCAGGATTCCTGGAACCTTGTTCTTCTTCGAAGGTTTGTTTGGAAGGTTTTGGGGAGGTTTTTGGAAGGTTTTTTTGGAAGGTTGTTGGAAGGGTTTTGGAAGTTGTTTGGAAGGTTATCTGTAAGGTTTCCGGGGGGTGTTTGGAATGTGTTGGGCGGTTTCGCTGCATGCTGGAAGGTGTTTTTTGGAAGGTTTTTGGAAGGTTTTCTTGCAGGTTTTGTGGAAGGTGCTTGGGAGGTTGTGGTTTCTGGAAGGTTTTTGGACACACCTTCCAACAACCTTCCTCGCCCCCTCCCCCCCCTCGGAAAACCTGCCAAAAACCCTCCAAAAAACGTTCCTCACGAAGAGTCCTGGATGGGGTTCGTCGGAACTCCTGCACCGGTCTCATGTGCGACCACCTTGCCAATGATAAGGAGGTTGTGTGTGTGGTGGTGGGAGGAGGAAGGGGGGCTAACTGGAGCTACAGCATAGCATTGCATCGCGCAGCATAGCATAGCATAGCATTGCGCAGCATCGCACACCACAGCATAGACGAACATCGCGTAGCGTAGCATATCATAGCATGTCACAGCATCGCATCGCATCGCATATAATGGCATATCATCACATGGCACAGTATGTCGTAGCATAGCATAGCATCGCATCGCACAGCATAGTATCACATCGCTTTGCACCGCATAGCTTAGCATCGCAGTGATCACATAGCGTAGCACTGTACAGCATGGCGTAGCACAGCACAGCAGAGCATCGCATAGCACCAGACACGACGAGACACCGCGGGACACCGCGGGACACCCCCAGGCCACCGCTGGCCAACCGGGAGGGACACCACGGGACACCGCGGGACACCCCCGGTCCATTGATGGCCAACCGGGGGGCGCAGCAAAGTTTGGCCTGGTTTTGCCGTAACTTTCCTTTCGCCTTCCGACGCAGCTTCGCCGCGCCCACACGCGCGACACGAACACGAAACCGAAAACTATGTCCTGGCGGGGGGCTCTGTTCACTTGGATCTCTTTCCCAACCTCGGATTCTGTCACACCACGGGACACCGCGGGACACCCCCGGGCAACCACTGGCCAACAGGCGGGCGCAGCAACATTTTGCTCGGTTTTGCCCAAGCACGGCGGGTTCATTCCTTTCGCCCGCCGACGCAGCTGCGCCTCGCCCGCCCGCACGACACGACACCGAACACGATTTTTTGGCGGGGTGTCTCTTGTTCACCTCGATCTCTTTCCCAACCTCAGATTCTATTTGCTTGCTGCGGAGACGATCGTTTTTTTCGCTCCGCCTGGCCCCTCCTTCCCCTCCTCCTAAGGCTCGAGGGCGGCCCAACAAGACCCCCCAAACGGCCCCGGAGTTTCCGGAGTCCGCCCAAGAGGGCCCCAAGAAATCCCAACGGGATTTCAAGAGAGGGCCAAGAGAGTCCGCTGGGCCGTGTTTGGACGGGCTTGGTGCGTCTTGCGGCCGTTTTGAGGCGATCTCTGGCTCAGGGCGCCGTGGAACCGTGGAGCAAAGTGCAGAGGGCGCGATTTTGTGCGGATGCACGCGGTAGGGGGCGCCTCGCTCCACCTTGCGCCATAAGTGCGCGTCTTTCTGTTCACCGCGGAGGCGATCGTTTATTTCATTCCGCCTTGCGTGCACACCCGTGGGCAATCGACCAGACAAGTGCGCGCCAGGCTGATGCGTCTCCGTCGGAAAATATCAATGTCATGTCCTCTTGTTCACTCTTTTCACTCCAGGGGCAGCGAGGAATTTCGCTACGCTTTGTGTGCGCACTCTTGGATGACTTACCAGGCGGGTATGCGCCAAGCGATGCGTCTCTACCAGTGTGTGTGTATATATATATATATATATATACCCATACGACCATCCTGCGGTTGATAAGGAAGTTGGGGGGGGCAGCAATGGGCAACAGTGGTGATTGTTGTTCTGACGATGCCTGTGGGGCGGAGTCTAGTGAGTAGTGTGATTGTGCACGTGAGCGTGATGTGATGTGGCGATGTTGGCGAAGCGCACTCGACATTGTCGTGAAGCGCTGTCCCAGGAGGATTTCGGGACACCAGCGGGACACTGGCGGGACACCGCGGGCCACCGGCCGCCAGAGGAGAAACATTTGGTCCGGCCGCGGCCCAGCCACAGGAGGATTTCCTCTCGCGCCCACGCAGCTTCGCCTCGCCCGCACGCACGGCACGCACGACACGAACCCGAAACCGAAATCGACTTCCTGGTAGGGGGGGTCCCCGTTTCTTCTCGGACTCACCCCCCAACCTCCTATGTATGTATATATATATATAGATACATATATAGATACATGTATGTATGTATACATATATATATATATACACAAGTGGCACGTGTGTGCCCAGGTTCATACAACAAAAACTGAAGGGGCGTTTGAAGCAGGAGTGAAATGCAACAGGGAAGTCGCACTCGAGCGCAAGTGGGGTTGCCACGCCTTGCGATGTGTGTACCAGGGCCCCCCAGGAAGCCTCAGGAGGCCCCATTTGGATACCAGAAGAGGCTCCAGGAGGCCCCAGGATTGTGAGTGTTGTGTGTGTGTGTGATGTGTGTGTGTGTGTGTGTGATGTGTGTGTGTGTGTGTGTGTGTGTGTGTGTGTGTGTGTGTGTGTGTGTGTGTGTGTGTGTGTGTTGTTGTGCGTGCTTTTCGTGCGTTGTAGGTGTTGTGTGTGTGTGTGTGTGTGTGTGTGTGTGTGTGTGTGTGTGTGTGTTTGTGTGTGTGTGTGTGTGTGTGTGTGTGTGTGTGTGTGTTATGTTTGTCTAGCGTGTGATGTGTTGGGCGTGATTTGTGTCTCTGTGTGTGCATGTAGTGCTGAGGCCCCAGGAGGCCCCAGGAGGCCCCAGGCGGCCTCAGGAGGCCCCAGGAGACCCCAGGAGGTTTCAGGAGGCCCCAAGAGGCTCTTGGAGGCCACAGGAGGCCCCAGGAGGCACCAGGAGGTTTCAGGAGACCCCCATGAGGCTCCGAGGCGGGTCTGGGGTACCAGAAGGTTCAGAAGGCCCCAGGAGGCTCCAGATGAGGGGCATGGAGGGGGGCGTAGGTCGTTTTGGGCGGGAAATCGTGGGGTGCGGGGTCCCAAGAACAGAGGCTCCGTGGGTGGGGGTGCCGGGGCCAGGTGGGGGACATGGAGGGGGGCGTAGGTCGTTTGTGGGCGGGAAGTCGTGGGGTGCGGGTCCCAAGAAATGAAGCTCTGTGGGTGGGGGTGCCGGGGCCAGGTGGGGGGCATGGAGGGGGGCGCAGGTCGTTTTTGCAAGGGGAATCGTGGGGTGCGGGGTCCCAAGAACAGAGGCTCCGTGCAGGGTGGGGGTGCCAGGGCCAGGTGGGGGGCATGGAGGGGGGGGGGCGTAGGTCGTTTTTGCAAGGGAAATCGTGGGGTGCGGGATCCCCAGAACAGAAACTCCGTGGGTGGAGTTGCCGGGGCCAGGTGAGGGGCATGGAGGGAGCGTAGGTCGTTTTTGTGCGACAAATCGTGGGGTGCGGGGTCGCAAGAACAGAGGCTCCGTGGGTGGGGGTGCCGGGGCCAGGTGGGGGGCATGGAGGGGGGGCGTAGGTCGTTTCTGGGCGGGAAATCGTGGGGTGCGGAGCCCCAAGAACAGAGGATCCGTGGGTGGGGGTGGCGGGGCCAGGTGGAAGGCATGGAAGGGGGCGTAGGTTGTTTTTGGGCTGGACATCGTGGAGTGCGGGGTCCCAAGAACAGAGGCTCGGGTGGGGGTGCCGGGGCCAGGTGGGGAACATGCAAGGGGGCGTCGGTTGTTTTTGGGGTGGACATCGTGGGGTGCGGGGTCCCAAGAACAGAGGCTCCGTGGGTGGGGGTGCCGGGGGCATGGAGGGGGGCGTAGGTCGTTTTTGTATGGGAAATCGTGGGGTGTGGAGTCCCAAGAACAGAGGCTCCATGGGTGGGGGGGTGCCGGGGCCAGGTGGGGGGCATGGAGTGGGGCGTAGGTCGTTTTTGGGCGGGAAATCGTGGGGTGCGGGGTAAGTCGTTTTTTGAAGGGACATCGTGGGGTGCGGGGTCCCAAGAACAGAGGCTCCGTGGGTGGGGGTGCCGGGGCCAGGTGGGGGGCATGGAGAGGGGCGTAGGTCGTTTTCGGGCGGGAAATAGTAGAGTGTGGGGTCGCAAGAACGGGTCAGGTTGGGGGCATGGAGGGGGGCGTAGGTTGTTTTTGGTGCGGGAAATCGTGGGGTGCGGGGTCCCAAGAACAGAGGCTCCGTGGGTGGGGATGCCGGGGCCAGGTGGAGGGCATGGAGGGGGGCGCAGGTCGTTTTTGGGAGGGAAATCGTGGGGTGCGGGGTCCCAAGAACTGAAGCTCCGTGGGGTGGCAAGGAGTGAATGCACACGGAGATGTCCCACACGCCTATGGGGTCGGCGGACTTGTCGAGTAGGGAGAAGACCGAGGCATGGTAAGGAGTGAATGCGCACAAAGATGTCCCACTCGCCTCTGGGGTCGGCGGATTTGTCGAGTAGGGTCGAGTAGGGTTATGTGCATCGAGATTCCAATGTATGAGTGGGAGTTAGGGGAACGTTTGTTGCCAAGGTCGCCCGCGCACACGGATTCCGCACACGCCTCTGGGTCGGCGGATTTTTATAGGTTCTGTTTGAGCATTCTTTGACATCCGTGCGAAACCTCAGGTTTTTGAAGGTTTTCGGCATGCGCGCGCGACGACGCGCGCGGGTGAACTTCGTTTCGTTTTTTGCAATATATGTTCGAGAACGGATGATTTGTGATAACCGAGTGTCCGCGCATTTTTTGCTGGCGGAGGATGGCGGGGGGGTCGATACCAGCTCCCCTAGGATGGTGCAGATTCGTATTTCGGATGGAAGGTGGGGCGTGATCACATGGAAATTGCAATTTGAAAACGGGGACGGATAATCCCGGGAAGGGGGGGATATTATCTGATCTTTCCTAAGAAAAGAGAACCTATGCGACGGCGACGGCGGCGACGGGCGGCACCGCCCGCAAAAACCGCCAGTCGCCCCGAGCGGCGGCGACGGCGACGGCGGCGGCTGGCGGCACCGCCCGCAACAACCACCACTCGCCCCGAGCGGCGGCGACGGCGACGGCGACGGCGGCGACGGGCGGCACGGCGACGAAAAACCGGAATTGGTATCCAGATGGTTAATACACGTAAGAGCCTCTCAGTGCAAACCCTGTTTGGGGAATTCATTGAACGAGAGGGGTGGGGACAGGTGGATAAGGTTTCGAGCGGCCTGCTCTTCGAAGTAGCTGTGTTTGGACTGTCTGCTGCAGCGGGGGCCACATATGTTGTCGAACTTCGCGTGACCCTGTGGAGGAAAAACAGGAGCCGTCGACGCGGCTTTGGTTGCGGGCCCTCCGAAAGTTGTCCTTCCCAGGGATTTCCCTCTTCCTGCACGCTCTATCCCTCGAATCGTACATCCCGCTGCCCCTCCCCCCCTTGTTCGTATCCTCCCTTCCCCCATGCCTGTCTCCCTTTGCCCGCCCGTTCCAGATTTCCCCTCCCACTCTCTCTCTCTCTCTTCCCTTCTCCCCCCTCCTCCCCTCTCGCTCCCCTATCCCCTTTTTTCTCCACCCGTCCCTGATTGCCCCCTCCCATCTCTCGTCCTCTCACCCGTCGCCTTTCGCGCGCCCCCGCTTGCCCATCCCCCCCTCTTCCTGCTCCCCTGTCTTGCTGCCCCCTCTTCCCATCTCATCCCTTCCAGGAGAAGGCTGAGGAGAGTTTTTTTTGGGTGGAGGTCCTCCTTCCCTCCCTCGTCCCTCCCCCTCTTCTTCTCTCCTCTCCTCTTCCCTTGCTCTTCTGGGTGCCGGGGAGACACCATCCCGCTGCTCGTGACCATGGTCGACGTGCACAACCCGAAGGCGCAGGACTGGCGAGCCGGAACCCGCCAAGCTCAGACATCGGGGGTTCTGAAGCTGCCCCTGGCCCAAGGGGTGCCCCCAGTTTTGGCTCAACTTTGGAGCCCCCTGGGGCCCTCTGGGCCTCGTGAGGGGTGTTTGGGAGGCTATGGGGGCCTCCTTGGAAATCCGGGGGGCGCCTTGGGCCAGGGGCACTTCTAGCAACACCCGAAGACAGGCCTTGCGCGAGACCTCCGCTTCCCCCTCTCCTCTCCAGTCCACTCCGCTCTGTTCTGCTGCGCTCCGCTCCTCCCTCGCTTCGTCGTCGGGTTCCTCCTCCTCCTCCTCCTCCTCCGCCTCCTGATCCTCCTCCTCCTCCTCTTGCCCCTCCTCGTGCATCTGCTGGTGCTCACACCCGCGTAGCCTGGGCCAGGAATCGCGCTAAGAAGGCCGTCGACTTCCAGCGAGAGATCGCGACCCGTACTGCTTGAAGTCCAGTCGCGATTTTCAGTTGGAGTCACCTCTGGCATTGCTACCCCTCGAGCAGGAGGAGGGAGGAAAGAGGAGCAGCAGGAGAGAGGAGCAGGGGCAGTGGCGTGGCCCGCACTGGCCCGACCACTCCTCCTGCTCCTCCTTCCCTGGCTTGGCCAGGAACATCGGTGTGTGCGGTGAGGAACGGTTGCTCAGCGTGTCGTGCCTCCGTTTCTGGCCCACCACGCTTCGGCGCGACGCGCCGAACACGTCGCAGTCCCCAGGCGTCAACTCTCCGAGCTTCTCCCAGCGTCCCGCCTCACGAAGCCACGAAGCAGAGCGACACGCTGCCAGCCTGCACGGCGCAGCTTGTCGTAAGGGTCGCGCCGCAACACGCTGAAGCACCAAATCCTCACCATAACCCTCCTCTGACGTTGCTTTCCGTGTTGTCGATCTCCCGGGATCTCGACCACTTCTTTGGGACCAGTCTTTCATTCCGAGGCGTTTTTTCACGGTCCAGGGGCCGGGAATCGGCCTCCAGAGGCTGCAAACGCTCCAGAATTGGCCGTCACGATTCTTTATGCAGCGCGGGGATTTGAGAGTACAGTCGAAGTTGATTAGTAGGTCGACCCTGCCAAATCCAGCATACCCTTGTGTCCTGTTTTTCGCGACCCATGCCCTGTACATTCCTAGGGAAATGTGGCCCTCGGAAAGGGTCTTGTGTTCTATCGCGTGTCCCCCCCAATCAACCTCGACTGTATGTCTCCCTGGGACGGCACACGCTGATGCGGCTCGATGTGGAGTTCGATCTTCTCTGCGCTGGCGTCGCCGATAGATTGCTGTCGTCTCGGATGCATCGCCGATGCATCGCCGATGCATCGGCGATGCATCGGCGATGCGGCGCGATCTTCCTGCCCCATCTACTCGGACACCATGTGGGAGGACCCAAGGAGTATGCCCTCCTGGGACGGCTCGCGCTCCGATGCGGAAGAGGAGGAGAGGGAGGAGCAGAAGGAGGAGAGGAGGAGGAGGAGGAGGAGGAGGAGGAGGAGGAGGAGGAGGAGGGCCCGGGGTCGACCCCGGCCAGGAGCGGTGCACGTGTAGAGCCAGCTCCCTCCGAGTGCGGCCGGCCCCCGCGCCGCGCCGAGGCCTTCGAGGCCGGACGGCGCTGGGCCCTTCGACCCCTTTTCTTCCCCCCCCTCGATCCCAGATCCTCGATCTGTCCCCCTCCTCCTCCTTCTCCTTCTCCTCGATCCTCGATCCTGGATCCTCGATCTGTCCTCCTCATCCTTCTGGATCATCGATCCCTGGATCCCTTCTCGTCCTCCTCCTCCTCCTGCTCCTCCTCCTCGTTTGCCTGCCCCAGAGCTATGCTCCTTCCTCCCTCCTGAAGGAGGGAGGAGGTCGAGGAGGAGGAGGAGGATGTGGAGGGAAGGTGGAGGATGGATGGATGGATGGAGGGAGGGAGGCAGGAGAAGGATGCTGATGATGATGATGATGATGATGATGAGGATGATGATGATGATGATGGTGATTATGATGATGCCGCTGATGAGGGTGATGCTGATATTGATGATGATGATGATGATGCTGATGATGATGATGATGATGATAATAGCGATGATGACGACGCTGATGATGCTGATGAGGATGATGCTCATGATGTTGCTCATGATGACACTCTTGAGGTTGACGATGATGATGACGCTGATGATGCTGATGATGTTGATGCTGATGCTGACGATGATGAGGGTGATGATGCTGCTGATGATGATGGTGGTGACATTGATGGTGAGGATGCTGATGATGCTGATGCTGATTATGATGATGGTGATGATGATGCTGATGATGATGAAGTTGATGTTGATGATGCTGATGATGCTGTTGTTGATGATGATGATGATGTTGCTGTTGATGATGCTGATGGTGATGATGATGATAATGCTGATGATGCTGATGCAGCTGCTGCTGCTGCTGCTGCTGATGATGATGATGATGATGATGATGATGATGATGATGATGATGGGGAGGATGATGCTGCTGCTGCTGATGCTGATGATGATGATCATGATGATGATGCTGATGATGAAAATGATGATGATGATGATGATGATGATGATGATGATGATGATGATGGGGAAGATGATGCTGCTGCTGATGATGAGGATGATGATGATGCTGATGATGCTGATGCTGCTGCTGATAATGATGATGCTGCTGCTGCTGAGGATGATGATGATGATGATGATGATGATGATGATGATGATGATGATGATGATGATGATGATGATGATGATGATGATGATGATGATGATGATGATGATGATGATGATGATGATGATGATGATGATGATGATGATGATGATGATGATGATGATGATGATGATGATGATGATGATGATGCTGATGATGCTGATGCTGATGATGCTGATGCTGATGCTGCTGCTGCTGCTGATGATGATGATGATGATGATGATGATGATGATGATGATGAGGATGGGAGGAGGAGGAGGGGGAGGAGGAGGAGAGGGAGGAGGAGGATGAGGATGGCTGTGTGTATACGAATCATCTCCAGAGCAGCGAAGGCCGTCGCGTTTGTCCCGCCACCGCGTCGGCTCAAGTTTTTTTTCTGGATGGGAGAGCCCTCAGCCGGTCGATGCGCCCCGCCCGACCGGCATCGGTCTCCCACTCGTGAGCAGCACGGCCGCCCCGCTCCTGGCGCGCTGGTGGCAGCTGGCGCCCGCGGCGCGGCTCCGCGGCCCCCGCCTTGCCCGGCCTGCCATGCCTTGCCCCGCGTGCGGGGGCAAGAGGTTCGAGGAGGAGGAGGCGGAGGAGGAGGAGGAGGAGGAGGAGGAGGAGGAGGAGGAGGAGGAGGAGGAGGGGGGGGGGGAGGGGGGGAGGGGGGAGGGTGGCCTGGGAGGCGGGCTTCGGCGGCCTGCCACTGCTGGCCGCGGAGCGGGCCCGCTGGGCCCTGGGGCGGGTGGCCGGCGCTGCCCGCCTCTGCCCCTGCCGTCGCGCCACGGCGGCCGCCTCGTCGGACGAGGAGCCCGCCGTGCGGCTCGACCTCGCGGAGAGGCGTCCCCGCAGGGCTGGCGGCCGCGGCCGCTTCTCGTGTTCAGCGTTTACAATGAGATCTGGATTGAGTACTGCGAGCCGCCACCGCGCCTGGCGCACACGCGGATCGCCGTCGTCGGCGTCCAGGCTGCCGACCCCGAGCACTTCAGCATCCTCACGCCGGACTTCGACGTGCACATCCAGGAGTGCGACGCCAGCAACGACGACATCAAGAACTGGTGGATGTACTGTGCCGCGGGTGCGCCGCACGGGGCCGCCGTCCGCCCTTCTGGCGTCCAGTGCTACTTCGCGGTTGCGCCGACCGCTGCTCAGGACGCCCAGGCGTGCGCCCCCGCGGCGGGCAGGCCGGCGGCCCATGACCGCGCTCTGGCCCTCCTGACGGCGGCGCGGGCGGCGGTCCTGGCCCTGGCACCGCGCCTGGTGCTGCCATCTTCGCCGCGGCCCCAGGTGCTGGGCCCCCCCGAGGCGGCGTCGCCGCTGGCGCGCCTGTCGCGATGGTCGCGGCCACAGCCGGAGGCGTTGCCCCTGCAGCTGGGCCCGCCGCCGCCCCCGCCGCTGATGCCGGGCCCCGTGGCCTGGGCGCCCGCGCTATGCCAGTGGGCGGGCCTGAGGCTGGGGCGTCCGCTTTGCCCGCCGCTGCCAGACCTTCCGGCGGGGCGGCCGCGGGGCGTGCAGCCGCCGCCGCCGGCGGCGGCGACCTCCACATCCTCGCGACCGCCTGCGACAGCCTGGGCCAGGGCCAGTGCGAGTGCCGGGACAGCGTGCAGCTCAGGCGGCCTGCCCGCTTCCCGGACTGGCCCGGCCCAGGCCCCACGACGTACCACTGAGTCGCCTCCTACTGCAGGTCAAGAGCGGAGGTTCGCTGCTCGGGCACCGCTTTGGTTGGGTGGCGGCTCTTGGCGCTGCGATGCCAGTCGACGACCCCGTCGTTAGCACGTCCTACGAGTTCGCCAAGACTATGCAGGGGGCTCAGGTGTATGACCAAGTCGGTGGCTTCAAGCTGTCCGCGATCGAGCTGGTCACGAGGCAGCCGCAGGCCCGCGAGGAGCGCTACGGTATCAAACTGGTCAGCACTCACGCTTCCATATCTGGAGGCGACGACACAGGGATGCAGTCTACGCGTAGGGCCAGGGTCATGGTCGCCCCCTCTCCTGCTGAGTGGATCGCAAAGCAGCTCTCGGCCATGGCGATGGAGCGCCGCAGGGCGCGAGAGGAGCGGCAGCTGCCCCACCCGCCCGCTTCCGATGGCAGCGGCGGTGGTGGGGCGGAGGCTGTGGCGAGGCCAAGGCATAGCCCTCCTGCGCCCGTTCCCTCACAGAGGCCGACGGTGCCGTGGCTTCTCCCGTCGGCGCCCTCCAGGCTCCTTGTTCCTGCTGTCGTGGTCCCCACGCCATGGTCAGTAGTCGTCAGCGAAGCGCTCTCCCTCTTCCCCACATGCCTGACGGACCCCTGCCTGGGCCTGGTCAGTGCGCCTCCGCTGCTCGGACTGCCTAGGCCAGCGACGGGATCGATGCGCTCGACCAGCTGGGCGGGGGCGGCTCGCCGCCCGTGCGCAAGCGAGCTTCTGTTTCGCAGCAGCAGTCCCTCGACTACATTGCTGATCTGTATGTCGAGTTTGCCCGAGCGCCAGCCGACATCGCCCCGCGCGGCGCCCTATCCGACCTCGGCTTCAGTTGCCCGCTATGCTCTGCTGGTCGCGGCAGCGTTCTTTCTTGCAGCAAGGACCTCGTGTCCTGGCCTTCTGGCGGCTCAGCGCCCGTTGCGCTGGAGTCCGCCCTGCTGGAGTCTGACCGTTTGTGGCTGCGGGGCTGGAAGGCCCATGTGCTTCGCCCGCCGGAAGAAGCAGCAGCTCTGCGTCGAGATGTCGGTCTCGTTCAACCTTGCGTCGATTAAGCTGCGTCATCCTGTCACCTGCAGCGACTTCATTGCCGAGCTGCTGAGCCGAGGGGTGCCGCGGCTGTCGCGAGCCATCGGCCGTCGAGGGCTCCTGGGTCTTTGTCGTGGCCAGGGGCGCGCGCGTCTGCAACGCCCGCTTCGGACCGCCCCCTTGCGCTGGGCTCGCCGTGGAGACGCAGGGGGCGCGGCGACATGTGGTTCAGCAGTGGCGACGTCTCGAACGCATTCTACGCCGTGCAGGTCCCGGAGGGCTTCTTCGCGTTCTTCTCCCTGCCGCCTGTGCGGGCGGTGCTTGCTGGCGCGTCTCATGGGTGGCGCCCCTGTGTGCGATTCGGAGCTCCTGCTGCCAGAGCTCGCCATCTTGTCCATGGGCTGGTCGCGGCCCCTCCTCTTCTGCCAGTGCGTCTCGGAAGCCGCCCTCGCGCGCGCCCGCGTGGCGCCCGAGCAGCAGGCCCGGGACCGCTGCGCAGGCGTCTTGCTTGGGCCGCGGCTTCCCGCCGCCGGCGCTGCCTGCGTGGGCAACTGCCTGGTGGCCGGCTGCTGGCGCGCTAAGGTGCAGGCCGTCGCGCAGAAGGTCGAGCGCGAGCTGTCGTCCCTCGGCTTCGTCGTGCGCGAGCAGGTCAGCGACGCTCGCCAGGTCAGCTTTGTCGGCCTCGACATTGGTGGACGCGAGCACTCGGCGCGGGTCTCGGCCCGCCGCGCCTGGCGGCCCCGCTGCGCCGTCGAGGAGCTCCTGCGGCGCCCAGAGGTCGGGGGCGCGCTCCTCGAGTTTATCTTGGGGTTGCACCTGGGTCATGCTGCTTAAGAGGTGCTCGCTGGCCATCTTCGACGCTGTCTACCCTTTCATTCAGGCGGCGAAGGACAGGGCTTTGCCGCTCTGGCCGTCGGTTCGACGCGAGCTCTGGCACGTGCGATCGCTGCTCCCGCTTTTCTTTTGTTTCGCGGGCGCGGAGTTGCATCCCGATGTCGCGGCCAGCGACGCTTCTTGCTGGGGCTGAGGAGTCTGCCGCCGTCGCTCTGCTCGCCCGATGCCGTCGCCGAGGTGGGCCGTGCGGCCGAGGGGTTGCGCTGCCTTTTCGAGGACTCTGCCCGCGCGCGTAAGCGCGCGCTGGGGTCGGCGAGCGCCGCCTCCGTGCTCCGCGGCCTTGCCCAGCTGCCGTCCGAGGTCACCAAGGACTGCGGCTCGGTGAGCTCGACCCGAACCTGCTGGTCGGCGATGGCTGGGCCGTCGCGTGCTCGTTCCCGTTGGGCGAGGCCGGCGACGTCTGCCGCGCCGAGGGCCTTGCGCTGGGCCCGCGCTCCGGCGTCGGCTTCGCGTGTCCGACGCCTTCGGCCGACGGATCGTCTTTCTCGTCGACGACGCGTCGTTATCGCTTGCCATCGGCAGAGGCTACGGTGTTACCACCCAGCAGCGCAGCGTCCTCCGGGAGATCCGCGCCCTCTCGCTCGCCTGCAGGCTGCATGTCAGTGCCGGGTGGGCCCCCGGCGAGCTCGACCCGCCCGGCGGCCCATCGCGCGGGCTGCCGTGCATCGAGCGGGCGGGCACCGATGTGGCTGCTAGCCTTGGCGGTCGTCTCCTCCATCAGCCTGGCGGGCGCTGGCGATTCGGTCCGCCCGCGCCTGGCCGCCCCCCTGGACGATGGCATTGGCGCTCTGAGGGGGCCGCAGTCTGTGGCGGCCGCCGCCCGCCCGCGCGTGGCGCTGAAAGGGGGGGTCTGGAGCTGAGCATCACCTACTTCGAGCAGATGTCGGTCGGCATGGGCATGCTTCTGGACTGCCGGTGGAGGGTCAACAGCTTCGTGACGTGCTGCTCGGACCTCCGCCTGGACTGGAGCAGCTGGGCCCCTCTGGACGTGGCCGTCGTTGCCTCCCTCGACTGCTTGTGCTTTCGCGGCCGCGGCGGGGGCGACGCGTCGCTGCTTTTCGCGGACCTCGTGTCCTCCTTACTTCCCGCCGCCGAACGGCCGCTGGGGCGACCTGATGCTTTGCCTGGCGTCGAGCGGCCTGGTGGGCTGGGGCGAGCGCCTCCCGCGGCGCATGCGGATGCCGATCCCTTGGCTCGTGGTTGCGGCCGTGGCGGGTGCCTGGCTGACGCAGTGGCAGTGCGAGCAGACCAGGCACGCGGGCAGGACGGGCCTCTGGGACTTCATCGTCGGTCTCGACACCTGCGCGCTCTTGGCCCTGGCGCTCCTGAGCCTCGAGCGGCGGACCTCGACGCCGTCCGCGCGCCTGTGGACACCCCTGCCGGGGTCTCTCAACGGGGGCATGATGAAGGAGCTGCCCTGCGCGCCTGGGCTGATGGACTTCCCAGCCCAAGCCTGCGTCGACCCCCTGGCGAGGCGCTGCCCCGCCCGGGAGGTGCAGCAGCGCGGCGGCTGGGCGTCCGACAACAGCTTCCGCCGCTACGTCACGCAGGCCCTGGCCATCGCCCAGCTGCAGCGAGCAGGCGCGCGCGTCTTCGACTGCGGCCGCCTGCTGGACGAGCAGCTCTGTGCCGCCTTCCTGAGCGGCGCCGCGGTCCCCGCGCTGTCGCCGACCTCGCCCGGGCGCTAGAGCGGGCGTCCACTTGCGAAGAGAAGCCTTCGACTTTCTCGATCCGTCGGCGCCTGCTCGCAGAATTGCACGACGCTTCCAAGTTGCAGGGTGGTTCTTCTCTTGCGATGGTGTTGGAGCTTTTCGCTGGATCATGCCGCCTCTCTGCCTCCGTTCAACGGCGGGGGCGCGCGGCCTTGCCAACTGATTCCGCTTCTAAGCCTTGGTCTGATTTGGACCTGCCGGCCGCCCGCCAGACCATCAGAGGCTGGGCCCGCGGTGGAGTGTGCAGCGCCATCTGGATCGCGCTCCCCTGCAGTTCCTGGAGCCATGCCCGCCATGGGCCGCTAGGGTCCTCGTCGCGTACCATCCGCTCTTGGGACTACATCTGGGGGCTGTCCGACCTCGGGCCACGGCCCCAGGCGGCCGTCGACATCGGGAACGCGCAGCTCCGCTTCGCCCTGAGCCTCGTGTCGCTGCGCCGTTCCATGGGCGTCCCCGTCTACCTCGAGAATCCCGGCTTATCTTGGGTCTGGGTGACCCCCGGCTGGCAGGCCCTGCTGAAAGCCCCCGACGCTTCGCTCTTCAGTCTCGACATGTGCGCCTTCGGAGCCCGCTGGAGGAAATTTGCTAAAGTGGCCGGCTGGGCCCGCCATCATCTTGAGGCCCTCGCAGTAGCCCGTTGTAGCTGTAGGAAAGGTTTTTGCTCCTTCTCGGGGAAGCCCCACATCGTACTCACCGGTGACGACCCAGTCTCAGGAGTTCTGGACCCGACTCGCCGAACCGTATCCTGTCCAGTTCAGCATTTTTTCTGAATTGATTTCTTAGCAGACTGGCTGTCAAGATTTTGAGCGAATGGCTTCCCTTGCCTCTCCCTCTTCCTGTAAATACTCGTAATCTGTTAGTGTGTCTCTCGGCGTCGCTTTGCTCCGCCACTTGTCCTCTCGGGCTCGGGTCTCCTCCTCGGTCGTGTGTGTCGGTGGTCTGGTGCCTCTTCCTCTCTCCCTCTCTCTCTTCTTCGTGCTTGCACGCTCGTCGCTCGCCTGCTGCGTTGGTCGGTGGCATCGCCCGGGACGGCCGCCACACAGAAATGTTGCTGTGGCCTGGGGTTTAGCAGGGGATGGCCGTGTGTATACGAATCATCTCCAGGAGGAGGAGGAGGAGGAGGAGGAGGAGGAGGAGGAGGAGGAGGAGGAGGAGGAGGAGGATGGCCGTGTGTATACGAGTCATCTACAGAGCAGCGAAGGCCGTCACGTTTGCCCCGCAACCGCGTCGGCTCAATTTTTTTTTTCTGCCCGCCCTCTCCTCCCTCGTCTTCTTCTTCTTCTTCTTCTCCTCGGTGGTGCGTGCCGGTGGTCTGGTGCCTCTTCCTCTTCCCCTTTCTCTTTCTCGTGCTTGCACGCTCGTCGCTCGCCTGCTGCACTCGTCGGTGGAAGACACGCCATAAACATCAGCGTTCGGAGATCCGCTCGGAGTTCTTAGACCGGCGCGTGCCAGGGGAAGCGCCCGAGGCGCCGCCAGGGGGGTCATGCACCCATCAACGAGCTACGCGCAGACCTCGGACAGTTTTCCCAAATAGTGCTTTCGCTTGGGGGTTCTTGCAAGTGCCATTCAGGAGTTGGATAGGTCTGCCCAGCTTTCGCCGCGTCGCCGCCCATGCCCGACTCGTGGCCGCCTCGTTACCGCCCACAGATTGGTTGGGTCCGCAGAGGTTTCGCCGCGTGACCGCCCGTGGCCGCCTCTTTGCCGCCCACTTGGGAGGTTCGCCGAGGTTTAGCCACGCCGCCGCCTCTTGACCGCCTCGTTGTTGTCCATAGCGCTTGGGTGGTCCGCCGAGGTTTTGCCGTGTCGCCGCCCGCGGCCGCCTCATTACCGCCCACCGCGCTTGGGGTTCCGCCGAAGTTTCGCCACGTTGTCGCCCGTGGCCGCCTCGTTGTCGCCCACCGCGCTGTGCTTGCACTTAGGAGCTCTGAGTCGCCAAACAGTGCTTGCGCTTGAGCGTTCTTACTTCTGTTATCAAGGAATTGGAAGGATCCGCCGAGGTTTCGCCACGTTGCAGCCTGTTTCCGCCTCGTTGCCGCCCGCCGTTTCGCCATGTTGCCTCACGTGGCTGCCTCGTTGCCGCCCACCGCGCTTGAGGGTCCGCCGAGGTTTCGCCACGCTGCCGTCCGTTGCCGCTTCGTTGCCGCCTCGAGCTTGCACCGCGTATACAGGACCAGATAGTTTACACCACATAGCTTGCACCACACAGCTTTCACACCCTCTGTGCAATGATTTCCTGTCTGATGTCCATGCTTGCTAGCTCCTGTTTCTGCAGGGGGGAGGGCTTCACTCCCGGAGAGTCCCGCCCCGCCGTGTTGTTGTCCAGGCATCGGGGGGAGGGCTTCGCTCATGGAGGGTCCTAGTCGCATGCTGGACGCACTACGTCGTGTTTTTTTTCACAACGCGTGCCCCAGATGTCTCGACCCATTCCTCGGGACCTGTTTTGCATCCCGAGTCGGTTCTTGACATTCTCTGGAGCCCAGAGAGGGCCCCTGGAGGCCAGAATTTCTCGCACAAGCTTGCCGTAGCCAACGCGGTCTGCTGCATTCTGTCACTATTTGAGGGGGTCACACCCCAACATACTTATACTATATGTGCGTCGCCCCCCCAGGGGCGACGCGCGCACCGAGAAATCTTATAGTATATGCGTCGTGGCGGGCGCTTTCTGGCCACACCGCTCGGGAAACGATCTACTACAAGATGGGTATACTATCTGTTCGGGTCGGACGCGCGCCTCCGAGGAGGACGTGTAGTACTAGCATGTCCATGTGCGTCCCATGGGACCTCGAAGGCTTGGAGGAGCGACTGGTCTACTCTGTAAGAACGGTTTTTTGAAGGCAGATTTGCCTTCAAAAAACCGTTCTTACGGAGCTGCACCGCCGGGAGGACCAGTTCTACTTCTGCAACGTGGGCAGCGGGGGCGCCTCCACCAAGGTCATCGGGCGGTCCCAGACCCTCAGCGTCGAGGCGGGTGCCGCCGCCGCTGCGGCGCCTTCTGCCGGGGAGGGGCGGATTGGATTTCGACGCTGATTCTGCAGGCTTACGCCACATCCGCCGACCCCTTTGATCTTGTCGGGGGCCTGATACCGAAGGTCTTTCGGCGTTGTCACGCGAGCTCGGCTCTGATTAAGCAGTGAGCCTGTCAGTAGAGGCCAGCACGACTCGCACAATCTTAGGGATGCAGCAATTCCTGCTGGGATGGATGGATTGAGGGAGGGAGGGAGGTCCCCTCCCCTCCCCTCCCTCCCCTCCCTCTCTCCCTTCCTCTCCCTCCCTCCCTCCCTCTCCTCCCCTCCCCTCCCTCCCCTCCCTCCCTCCCCTCCCCCCTCCCTCCCCTCCCCTCCCCTCCCCCCCTCCCCTCCGCCCCTCCCTCCCCTCCCCCCGTCTCTCCCTCCCTCCCCTCCCTCCCTCCCCTCCCTCACTTCCTCCCCTCCCTTCCCTCGCCTCCCTCCCTCCCTCTCTCCCTCCCTCCCTTTCCTCCCCTCCCTCCCCTTTCCCCTCCCCTCCCTCTGTGGAAAATGTCTCAGGCCAGGCCGGTGGGGACACCTGCAGCGGTTGTCATCTTCTCTCACCTCTCTGTGCGCGGCCCTAGGGCGCACGCGTTTCTGTGGAGTGTCCTGCGTCCACGTGCCCTGTGCAGGCGCCATTTCACAGGGGGTGGGTATATGCTGACTGGCTGTCATGCTCGCTCATCTCTCTCGCAGGTGATCTGCCGTTCTTGCTTTGCCCTCTGGACCATGTGACCATCGTTACGTCTTTGCCCATTCTGAGTTGTGCAGCGCCAATCGAAGGACGGCGCAATAGCTTCAGATGATGGGACGGTCCGTCATCAGTGTACTGTCTCCCAGCAGTCTTATCGAATTGATTTGATACCGTATATTTTACTTTCATGGGGAACCGTCTGAGTACGACCTATGCAAAACATCATCCCATGACTGCTACTTTGATGCTGGCATCACATGTTTGACAACCATTTTGATGTTCGCCATAAATTTTTGAGCCTGGAGTGGCTCACGTGATACGTTTCACGCTGTCTAGTTGATCAGTTGTTATCGCAACTTCGATCTTGATATCAATCGAATTCGAGCCTGACCTGTCTCTCGATATGCCCCCATTCTCACGGTTCCTTCTCTAATTCTCTCGCGCCGTCTTTCGTCGGGGGGGAGGTTTCCCTTCCCGCCTCCCCGCAGGCGCACGTCGACGCCCTCCTCCTCTCGCTCTCTGTTGTCCAATTCTATCTCCATCCGTCCATGGCTTCTCTCCCACCATCCATGTGTCCTGTCTTCTTTCTCCTCGCTCTTCTCTTTGTGCGTGTTGTCGCCACGCGCGCGTTCATTTTGGAGCGGTTGCTGGAAGCTGTGTCATGCCGAACGGTCGTCGCTTCACATTGTGATGCATCTGAGCGCGCGTGTGTTGCTTGCGGGGAGAATTTCTGTGATCGCGTTGCGGAACTCCAGCGCCTTGGCAGAGTTGCGTGATGTACGGGCCCAAACTGGCCAGCTGTCTACCCGACTTCGGTTTACGATTTCGCCCTCGCAGGCGGCGGACCTCTCCCAGGCTCGAAAAGAGACTCGAGAATCAGAGATGCTGAAGAAGCACGGGTCGAGGAAATCCTTGCCCGTTTGGACCGCGCGCAAGTCGCGCGGTGCGCGTCGCGCCAGGCGAGCAGGGGCCGAGTCTACCCTGCGCGCGTTGACGATTCCGAGACGTCCATGGCGGGGGCCTATAGGTGCCCGCAGCTGGTCCGTGACCTTCTGATTTGTTTTGCGGTTGATGGTTGTCGCAGTCGCATTCAGGTTGCTCTTCCTCGCAGAGCTCGCGGCGTCCACAGCCGCAAATTGAGTCCTCGCGGTGGGCCCCGCTGTAGCTCCGTGCAGATCTCTATCCTTCTTCTCTTGCAACGCATGGGCGCGGATGTCCCTCTTCGGGGGGGGTCTTCCCCCCTGCCCCTTTCCCTCTCCTCTCTTCCGGCCCCGCAGCCTCTGGGGGTCGTGGGAATTCACCTCCCCGCGTTTCTCTGGAGTCGGGTCCGCTCCCTTCCTCTCCCGCGCGCCGTCCGGCCCATCCTCGGCGGGGCGGTGGATGGATCCCGCAGGTGGCAGCCCCTGCCAAGCCGCGTCGTGCTGGGCTCGGGCGGCCGCCCCGCTCAGGTCGCCGCCGTAGAGTCCGTTGCCTCGTCGCGGGTGGCTCTTCTCTCCTGGCCCCTTGCCCGGCCTGTCTGCTTGCGGTCGCTGTTTCTCCTACTTGTCCTCTTCTTCCCTTTACTTCTGCTCCTTGCCTGCTGCCTTCTGTTTGCCCCCTCCCGCCTGCCCTCGCCCCGCCGGCCCCGGCCCCCCGCCTGCGCGTTCGTCGTCGCCGGCCTGCTTCCCCCCTCCTCTCTCGCCCCCTCTCCGGGCGGCGCGGCCTGCCCAAGGCCGGCGTTGCGAAGCAGCGTGGGGCCATTTGTGCCAAAGGGGTCGCTCGCCCCCTGCCCGTGCCTGGCGCCGCGCGGAATCTCTGGGGCCCGGGCTGTCCAGAGGGCGCCAGCCCGACGACGCCATGGCCGCCGCAGCCCTTCCTCTCTTTCCCCATCTTTTTGTCGCAAATAGGGAACCTCCGCGGGGCGGTCGCAGCCCCGCGAATTGGCGCACCACGGAGCATTAAAGACATGCTCGAGGTGGCCAGAGTCCAGCCCTTGTCGATAAGAGCAGCCCATTTTGGGCGGGGCCGGCGCGTCCTTAATCTTGAAGAGCAGCCCATTTTGGGCGGGGGCGGTGCTTCCTTTTTCTCCTTTCTTCTTCTTCTTCTTCTTCTTCTTTCCCTCTTTCGTGTGGTCTCGCGTCGGGGGGGGGCCGGCGGCGTTGTCGGTGCTCCCGCTCCTCAGGGCAATGGAGCCTCGAGGAACCCAGTGGTTGAGCTCGCATCGTTTCACGTCGTTTCGCTCATTGGCCCGAGCTCGCGCCCCTGGGGTCGAATGGGCAGCGCTCCGCCTTCCCGCAGGTGCACGTCGACGTGTTCTTCCTCCCCGTCCTCTCCTCCGTTCTCTTCCTTTGTCCTGCCCCCCCGCAGGTCTGCGTCGAGAGACGCGTGTCGACGTACTCGAGCTCTCGCGCGCTCTCACAATCCTGCTTTCCCTTTCGGTCGCTACCGTCAGGTGCGCATCTTCAGCTACAACGCACTGCGCAGTGGGCAATCCAACTTATACCCGTGCTATTTTGACGTCGTGCACACATGTCAGATTTTCATCCTTCTTCCCCACAGGTTTACATGTTGACGCCTCTCTACCGCTGCCTCCCTTGGAATGCTGTCGCTGCGAGGTCTGCCCGGCCGGGTCTTCTTCATCTTCTATTTGCTTCCGCCACCACCCATGTGTCGTAAGGGGGGTGGGGCGCGGAAGATGTCTCAGGCCAGGCCGGTGGGGGCGCCTGCAGTTGTCCTCTTCTCTCGCCTCTCTGGGCGTGGCCCTCAGAGCGCGCGCGTCTCTGTGGAGTGTCCTGCGGCCAAGTGCACTGTGCAAGTGCCGTTCCGCAAGGGTGGGTCTATGCTGACTGGCTGTCTTGCTCGCTCATCCCTCTCGCGCCCCCCCCCCTCCCCCCTCTCCTTCCCCCCCTCTCTCCTTCCCTCCCTTCCTCCTCCCCTCCTCCCCTCCGTCCCCCTCCTCCCTCCATCGCGTCCCTCCCTTCCCCCCCATCGCCCCCTCCCTCCCTTCCTTCACTTTTCGTGGCCACCCTGGTTCATGCCATTTTTGCTCGAGCCGACGTCCCGGGTCAGGACCCGTTTGCAGCGCGCAGGGTGCTTATTCTGGCCACCTCCTCGCGGGACTATTGCCATGCCCGCCGCCCCCCTCGGGCGCCTTCCAGCAGGCGCAGGCGGCCGCGCGCCGCGAGATTTTCCTGGCCAGCGGTGCTGCAGGCGATCGAGACCGACGCTTCGCGCTGCTGTGCGGAGGCTCGGTTGCGCGGCCAGAGTCGGCCGCCGGCCTTGCGTGAGCGACGTGGCCAACCTCGCTATCGCAGCCAGTCTTCCCGTTCGGCCTGCTGTGCCATCCGAGGTGCCGCTTGTTCGTGTCAGCGTTGATCGTTCTGGATTCGACCTTGTTCGCGGAGCCGCCGTGCCTGATCGAGGCGGTGTTCATGCCTGATCGAGGTGGTGTTCGTCGCTTTCCTGCTGGTGCTGCCGTTCGTCATCCTGGAGGTGGCGTGGCCGCTGGGCTGGTGCCGGACCTTCGTCCATCGGGCGCTGCTGCCGCTGGCGCGCGCGCCCGCGCCCCGCCACCACAAGGGCCTCCTGATCTTGCCTGCTTCGGTATCTCTGGAGCTGCTGCCGCTCCGCTGACATGGTCGCCAACGTAGCCTCTCCGCGCGCGGCCTGCTTTGGAGCGGGCTGTCGGCGGCGCGTTCTGCAAGGATGCCGCGGCGACGGCTGAGGCCGCCAGGAAGCTTGTGAAGGACAAGAACGCCACCCGCGAAGCACGGCACGCGCTGGTCGCCACGTTCGACAACGAGCGCGCCGAGGCGCAGGCGAGGGAGTTGATCGCGGTGGAGGCCCAGGACAAGCTGCGAGCGAAGCAGGCTGGACTCGCCGCCGTCGTGGAGGATTTCCGCTGCCTGAGCACTGGCTCTTTCAAGGAGGGCGGCGGGGACACGGCGGCCGAATCCGTGCAGGAGTACGCTAAGGCCCATGACGTCGAACCGGCCCTTCTGGCGGGCCTTCTATTCGAATACCAGGCTTGCTGTAGAAATGGGCCCGTGCGCAGCGAGTCCCAGTCGTTTCACCTACTCTCGCTCACTGCGCGAATGTGACATCAGCTGCTCGCATCGATGCTCTAGTGAACGCTGATCTGCTTGCTCTGCACGTGCGTAGGTGGGCGCAGCCGGGGCCTCTGCCCAGTCCCCCGCCACCCACGCGACGTCCAGCCGACCCAGATGCAACGCTAGCTGAGTATATCGCTGCCTCCCGCGAATGGCAAGACTGGTTTGTCCGAAACCCCCATGTAGGACAAGGAGGCTAGACTGATCAGCAATCGGCCTCGCCACGTGCTCCTCCCTCGACTTAGCGCGCGGATGATCCCGTCGGTGCTCCGCCGTCTCGTCGTGCGTCCTGGGTTGAGGGCCGAAGATAGTCTTCCCTCCGTTTTCAGGAAGACGGACTGTACGCCTGCACAGTGTTGTCGTCGTTCTTTCATTGTGCAGCACTGAGTGGCGAGGAGAGCGCACGTGCCGGAGGTGTTAGGTATGCGTCCCTACCTTTACCCTCCCCCTCGTTGCCGCCCTCCTGTCGAGGCTGGGGGTATCAGATCTGTGTCCCAGTCTCACTCTCTCCTTTTCGGTGTCATGCATCCTGCCTCCGTTCCGTCCTGCCCCTCCCGAGTGGCCGAGTGCCCAGGACACGGTAGTCGATCCTGTGTACGATTCGATGCGTGCCCAGCTGCTTGATTTGAGGCGAGGAGTCTTTCGGAGGGATGGTGACATAGGGATGGGGAGGACACTGCTCTCAGAGTTCCGTGGTGCCCGTGCGGGGTCTTTTTAGTCTGACTAGTGTTCTGCGACCTGCGTGCCAGCCTCTGCTGACGGGCTCACAGCCTAATCGGCGTCGAAATCCCAATCCCTCGCTTTCGCAACTCTCTCCCCCGCCACCTCTCGATCTCTACGGTCGGACCGAGGCATCAGATCGAGGCCGGTTCGGGGAGGGCACCCTGCTGTTCTTCGTGCTTGTTGCATGCCCTGGTGCATCTTGGGGGAGGGCACCCTCGAATGTCCTTCAGTTTGCTGGTGGCGAGCGAGGGGGGGAAGTGAGAATGAGAAGGCCTTCTCAGAAGGTTCGGAAGTCCCCCGGTCTTCCGAGAAGTTTTGTGAAGCCTTCCCCGAAGACAGAAAAGCCTCTCAGAAGGCGCGAGGGCCCCTGAGAAGTCCCGCCGCCTTCTGAGAAGGCCTCCTCCTTCTCCTTTCCCCCCCCTTCGCTCGCCGCCGAGTTTGGCCAGCGGAAGGTCTCATGCTCCTGCAGGATGTTCGTCTGCCCTTGGCTCGGCTGTGCCTCGGCCTCGCGTGCCCCCTGGGCGCCGCCGGTGCCTTTCCCGGCCCCGCGGGGCGCCACCGGCGCCGCGGCCTTCGAGGGCGGCCTCCGGGCCCTCCCAGAGCTGGGCCCCGAGCGGCGAGGCAGGGCTCTCGCTCGTCTGTCTCCTCCACGGGAGGGGCGGTGATGAGGGCACGCCGCGTGCGGGAAGTGGGCACTCCTGGATTCCCAGATCCCAATCTGCGTGCAGGCCGCTCGCTGCAGGCAGGTGCTTCTGGATTCTCAGGTCCCGGTCTACCTCAGGCGCCCTCCTGCTTCAGTCATCGGTCTGTCTTTCTTGTTTTTGTTGTGTTGTTATTCTTCGGGCGGGACGCGAACCCAATCTACTTGGTCCGCCTGCCTTCTTCATGTTTCTAACTACTTCTTCCGACTGGCGGGTAGGGGAGGCAGGTCGAGGAGGAGGAGGAGGAGGAGGAGGAGGAGGAGGAGGAGGAGGAGGAGGAAGGGGAGGAGGAATATGAGGAGGAGGCAGGGTTTTGAGATATGCTGTTTTTGCATGGCACGCCCTGCTGCGAGCATCCGAGTAATCAAGGAGGATCGTGGAGGAGGAGGGGAGGAGGAAAAGGAGGAGGAGGAGGAGGAGGAGGAGGAGAAGGAGGTGGGGGACGAGGACGATCGGGGAGGAGGACCGATCATAGAGTTTCCCTCTCTCCCTTTTGGGGCTTCTGGAGGCTTTCGCAAGCTTCCAGGGGCCTCCGGGGACCTCAAGAGACATCCGAACCTCCAGATATCTTCAGAAACCTCTGGGTGAAGGGAGTGAGTTGAGATTAGGGTGAAATTGGAAGAGGAAGATCAGGATGCTGATGCAAAAGCTGGCGCTCGAGTGGCCCAGGTTGGCTGGCGTTGGAATTGTCTCTGGGCGTCTCCTTTGCATTCGTCATGGGCCATGGGTACAGGAGAAGAAATGGGCAGGCGATGGTGCGCGCATAGAATTTGCCCCCGAGCTCCGAAAAGAAACGCATACAGATCAGAAGCAGGGGGTGGAGGTGCAGGATGTGGGTGCACCCAGTGCTTCGGGCAAAGCTCCTCCACCCCTCAGTACAGTTCTCGGAGTTGGAGAAGGATTCCAAAGTGGAGAAGTAGCATGACGAGTAGAAGGGTGAGGAGGAGGAGGATAATGCTGATGATGATGCTGATGCAGATGCTGCTGCTGATGATGCTGATGATGCTGCTGCTGCTGCTGCTGATGATGATGATGATGATGATGATGATGATGATGATGATGATGATGATGATGATGATGATACAACTGATGATGATTATCATGCTGATGGTGGTGGTGATTGTGGTGGTAGTGATGGTGATGATCATGGTGATGATGCGGATGCTGCCGATGCTGATCATGATGATGACGATATTGATGATGACGATGATGGAGCTGATGATGATGATGATGATGATGATGATGATGATGATGATGATGATGATGATGATGATGATGATGATGATCACGATGATCACGGTGCTGCTGCTGATGATGATGATAATGGCGGTGGTGGTAATGATGATGCTGGCGATGATAATGATGATGCTGATTCTAATGATGCTGCTGTTGTGATGATGATGATGATGATGATGATGATGATGATGATGATGATGATGATGATGATGATGATGATGATGATGATGATGATGATGATGATGATGATGATACTTTTGATGATGATGATGATTCTGATGATGATGCTGCTGATGCTGATGATGCTGCTGATGATGTTGATGATGATGATGATGACGATGATGCTGATGATGCTGCTGATGCTGCTGCTGATGATGATGATAAGAAGGAGGAGGAGGAGGTGGAGGAAGAGGAGGATGAGGAGGGGGCCAGCGTTGGATTCTCATATTCAGAAGCTTACCCTTGGAGCTGCCTTCGGCGAGAGGTTGGCATCACCACTATCCTCAACATAATCGTGTACGAGTGCCCAGAGCCTGTGTTCACGCCTGAGACCGCTCGCTGCCTTGGAGACCTCGCGCGGTTCTGTCCTCTGTTCTCCTGGGAAGGGTTTACCAGAGCGCTGAGACGGGGTCAGTTGGTTGGCTGTGAGACGCGCGCGAGTCGCTTGCGAGTTTGCTTGCCCAACTTGTGGACATGCGCGACATGTGGACGCGTCGGTGAAGGCAAGCTCATGGGGAGAGAGCATCGGGCGCCATGGAGTTCCTTGTGAGTCTTGATTCGGCTGTTCCATTGTTTTCCACTTCGAACTGTCAGATACGTGTTGCCCGGGATGATGAGGGGTCGCTATGGCGAAACCCTTAAAGACAGAAAACGAGCTTCCCACCCGCATTCTTGTTTCGAGCGCTCCACACGAGGCGTTTCAGCGAGGGCCTCGCCTTTGGCGCAAACCATCGCGCGGAATGGCGGCGGAGGACCTGCGGAAGCCGGCGGAAGTAAAATTCGGCGGCGGGTTTGCCAGCGGAAGCCGGCAGAAGGCCAGCGGAAGGCGACGGAAGTAAAAACGAGGCGTCAACATTTTTGGAGCCAGGGTTTCAGGAGTCGGCCACATGCATCCGCGTGTGATTTTCATCTCCATTGCGGTCCCTCCGCCTCCACGTTGCGCCTCGCAGCGGGAAGTGAACTCCGCGGGAGAGCGGCGATGCTGCTGCTTGTTGCTACCGTCGGGGTCTCCCACGCCCTCCTCGCCGTCTATGTCTTCGTCCTTCTCCTCTCGTCTTGGGGAGGAGCCTCACGACGTCTACTGTCTCGAGCCGGTGTTTTACCAGCATGTGCATGTATGATGGCAGGATCAGGAATCTGCCTAGCAGACGCCAACTGCCCCTGGTACGAAGCGAGCATCGGAACATGTGCAGCGAATGCTGAAATCCCATGCCCCCCTTGCTTCCACGAGGGTTGGCACTAATCATTGAAACGTCTCTTTTGAGGCGATTTTGGAAGCCTCCTGAGGGCATCTTGGACGCGATCCCTCCCCGAAGGCTGAGACTAGGGGCACGAGGGGGATGGGGAGGAGGAGATGGAGGGGGAGGGGGGAGGCCTCTCCTCGTCCTCTTATCTTCTCATCATCCTTGCCAGAAACAAGGAAGACACAGGAGTCCTCCGCGTCCCCATCGAGCGCCTCGCCGAGCGCTACAGCTCTGGCATCTTCCAGCAGTGGTTCAACCTCGACACGGCCACGGACCCCCGCATGCCGGCCGGGGACCCGCAGGCCACCGCCGTTCTTGGTCGTTCTGAGTGGGAGAAGCCATAGCCCGCGTTACGCGGGTTATAGCTCCAGCTGCCGAGAAGAATGAGGATGAGGATGAGGACGAGGAGGAGGAGGAGGAGGAGGAGAAGCCGGAGGAGGAGGAGGAGGAGGAGGAGGAGGAGGAGGAGGAGGAGGAGGAGAGAAGATGACAATAAATGGAAGAGCATGATCATCCTCCTGCTATCTTCTCCTACGCCGAGAAGAGGATGAGGAGGATCAGGGTAAGCCCAACATGCACCAGCGAGGCTGTGATGCACCCTCCCGTTCCATGCCCCCTCCTCCTCAGTCCCTACGGGCATTCTGTTTCACTGCGCGCAGCGCCCCACCCTGAGATACGAGTGCCCAGAGGGCCCGCAATTCAGGCGGGAGCTCCGTTTGGAAGGCACGTGTCCTCCATCCTGCGGACCTCAAGGAATGGCACAGGGTGAGTTCCTCAAGTTGGAAAGAGCGTGTTCTACCGCTGCTGGCGGACAACCGGGGGGGGTCACTGGGGGTTCCCAACCCGTTCCCCCCCCCCCCCAAAACCCTGGTTCGAACCCCCCCCCCTCCTCCCCCCAGTCCATCATGAAAAGGTGGGGGGTTGGGTCACTATTGGTTCGAACCACCCCCCGCCGCCGGCAAACGATTCGCTCCTCGGGACAGGGGGACAGTGGTGGGGACAGTGGGACAGTGCTGAAGACGGTGGTGGTGGGGACAGTCGTGTGGGGACAGTGGGACAGTGGCGGCGACAGTGGGACAGTGGTGGGGACGGTGGTGGTGGGGACAGTGGTGAGGGGACAACGGGACAGTGGTGGGGACAGTGGGGACAGTGGGACAATGGTGGAGACGGTAGTGGTGGGGACAGTGGTGAAGGCGGTGGTGAGGACGGTGGTGGGACAGTGGTACAGTGGGGAGAGTGGTGGGGACAGTGGAGACAGTGGGACAGTGGTGGGGACAGTGGGGACAGTGGGGACAGTGGGTTAGCACAGTGGGACAGCGGCAGGGACAGTGGGGACAGTGGGACAGTGGTGGGAATCATGGGGACAGTGGGGTGGTGGTGGGGACAGTGGGGACAATGGGGAGAGCGGGACCGTGGTGGGACAATGGTGGGGACAGTGGGGACAGTGAGACTTTGGTGGGGGCACTGGTGGGGACAGCGGGGACAATGGTGGGAACAGTGGGGACACTGGGACAGTGGTGGGGACAGTGGGACAGTGGTGGGGACGGTGGTGGTGGGGACAGTGGTGTGGGGACTGGGACAGTGGTGGGGACAGTAGGGACAGTGGGACAGTGGTGGGGACGGTGGTGGTGGGGACAGTGGTGAAGGCGGTGGTGAGGACGGTGGTGGGACAGGGGTACAGTGGGGACAGTGGTGGGGACAGTGGTGAGAACAGTGGGACAGCTCAGTGGGACAGCGGCGGGAACAGTGGGACAGTGGGGACAGTGGGACAGTGGTGGGGACAGTGGGGAAAGTGGGGAGAGTGGGACCGTGGTGGGAACAGTGGTGGGGACGGTGGGGACGGTGCGACAGTGGTGGGGGCACTGGTGGGGACAGTGGGGACGGTGGTGGGCAAAGTGGGGACTGGTGGTGTGGACGGTGGTGCTGGGGTCAGTGGTGGGGGATGTGGTGCGGACCTGTGGTGGGGATTCGGGAGTCGTTTGCTGGTGGTGAGGGGGGGGGGGTTCGAACCGGTAGTGACCTCCCCCGGTTTTCTGGAGGGAGGGGGGGGGGGTTCGAACCGCTAGTGACCCCCCCGAGTTTTCCAGAGGGGAGGGGGGATTTTCGAAGGGGGGGGGACCCCCTGGTTCCGGAGGAAGAGGGAGGGGAATTTTCCACATTAAAGCGGCGGTGGATCACGCTCTCTCTCAAGTTGACAGACGTGGCCAGCGACAGCCCCTATCTGCGAAGGAGCCGCCCTCAATTCGTATACCCATTGCAGAATTTTGGGACTTCGGATCATGTTTTTTTGCGATGTCTCGTGTGGGAGCCCTGTTTGGAACCGTCCTTCATCCGTGTGACTGTTCTTGAACCGTATACTTGCGGTAAGCAGTGTTAAGGAAGTCTCTAACGAGTGCCCCACTTTGAAAACCATTCGCCCTACATCCGTGTAGCTGCTGGAATTGTTCAAGACGAGCGTGGATCGGCCAGCTTGGGAGCCCACTCTTGAAAGCGAGCGGAAACTGTTGGACATTTCCAGTTTCTTGGTCGTGAACGGTGAGGACGTTTCATGCGACACGCCCGGCCCGTCCTAACGCCAAGTCTGGTGGTTCGGAGGGGAGGGGTTATTCATAAGGGCGAGGGCTGGGCGATGATGATGATGATGCTGCTGCTGATGATAATGCTGATGATGCTGATCATGGTGATGCTGATGATGCACGGCGATCGTAATGATACTGCTAATGACAACGATGCTGCTGCTGCTGCTGATGATGATGATGATGATGATGATGATGAGGATGATGATGATGATGATGATGATGATGAAAATGATAACGATAATGCTGCTGATGGTGTCGATGACGATGGTGATGATGCTGGTGATGACGATGATGATGACGATGATGATGACGATGATGACGATGATTGCAATGACGATGACGATGACGATGCTGATAGCGATGACGATTACGATGATGATGATGATGATGATGATCATGATGATGATGATGATGATGATGATGATGATGAATATGTTGATGATGATGATGATGCTGATGCTGCTTCTCATGCTCATGCTGATGGTGCTGGTGATGATGCTGATGCCGCTGCTGATGATGATGGTGATGATGGTGATGCTGGCGATGACGATCTCGACGACGATGCCGATGACTATGACGATGATGATGATGATGATGATGATGATGATGATGATGATGATGGCCCTGATGGTGATGATGATGATGCTTGTGCTGAGGATTACGATAATGGTGAACTGATGATGATAATGATGATTTGGATGACGATGATGGTGATACTGATGACGACGATGCTGATGATGATGATGATGATGATGATGATGATGATGATGATGATGATGATGATGATGATGATTATGATGAGGATGATGTCGACGAATACGATGATGCAGATGATGATGATGATGATAATGATGATGATGATGATGATGATGATGATGATGATAATGACGAAAATGCTGCTGATGATGCTAGTGCTGATGCTGATGATGATGCAGATGTTGATGACGATACTGACGATGATGATGATGATGATCATTATAAGAATCATTACTCTCAGTAGTATGATGATTATGATGATGATTGTGATGCTGATGATGCTGATTGTGATGGAGATGCTGTAGGTGCTGCTGATGCTGACGTTGGTGATTGTGATGCTGATGATGATAATTGTGCTGATGGTGATGATGATGATGATGATGATGCTTCCGATGCTCATTATGGTGATGATGGCGATGATGATGAACGTGCTGCTGATGATGATGATGATGATGATGATGATGATGATGCTGATGCTGGTGTTGATGTTGGCGATCATGACGATGATGACGATGCTGACGATGCTGATGATGCTGCTGCTGCTGCTGCTGATGATGATGATGATGATGTCGATGATGCTGTGCTGATATTAATGCTGTTGATGAAGATGAGGATGCTGCTGATGATGATGATGACGATGACGATGGCGATGCCGATAATGATGATGCTGATGCTGGTGCGTATGCTGATGATGCGGATGCTGATGCTGATGATGATGCTGCTGCTGATGACGGTGATGATGGTGATGATGATGACCCTGATGCTGACGATGATGGTGGTTATGATGATGCAGATGATGATGCTGCTGCTGATGGTAATGGTGATGATGATGATGATGACAGTGATGATAACTGTGATGATGACGCTGATGCTGATGATGATTCTGCTGCTGCTGATGATGATGATGCGGATGATGGTGATGATGACCCTGATGATGACGATGATGATGGTGGTGATGATGACGCAGCTGATGATGATGCTGATGATGCTGCTGATGATAAGGCTGCTGATGCTGATACTGATAATGATGGAAGAGCAGTTGATGATGCGGATGCTATTGTTGATGATGGTAATCATGGCGATAAGGATGATGATGATGATGATGATGATGAGACTGCTGCTGCTGCTGCTGATGATGATGATAATGATGATGATGATGATGATGATGATGATGATATGATGATGCTGGCGTATGCTTATCATGATGATGCTGCTGCTGATGGTGGTGGCGGTTGTGGTGATGATGATGGTGATGATGATGATGATGACGGTGATTATGATGATGATGCTGATGATGATGATGATGCTGATGTCGCTGATGCTGCTGCTGCTGCTGATGATGATGTTCATGATGATGACGATGGTGCTGATGACGGTGGTAATGATGCTGATGATGTTGCTGCTGATGATGGTGGTGGTGGTGGTGATGATGATGATGATGATGATGGAGGGAAGGAGGAGCGTGGTGGTGGTGGTGATGGTAGTGATGATGGAGGAAAGGATGATGATGATGATGATGATGATGATGATGATGATGATGATGAGGAGGAGGAGGAGGAGGAGGAGGAGGAGGAGGAGGAGGAGGAGGAGGAGGAGGAGGAGGAGGAGGACGAGGAGGACCAGGAGTTGGAGGTTGTGGAGGAGGAGAAGGTCCGTAGCCATTTTGGCTCAAGCCATTTTTGGGCCAAATAATACATCTCCCGAACCAGCTGGGCAGGACAGCGCCGCCGAGTTTCTTTGCAGCGTCCAGGCAGGCGGCATAGCCTCGGGCGCTGCTGTTTTGTGTGCCGTTCCTTCGTTTGCAGCCATTCTCCAGTCCAGATGGGAACGCCCGGGTAGCGTCGCGCCAGGTGGCCATGGCGCGACCAACCGAGCGAGACCGCCTGGAGCTCAGCCCCTGTCCTGGGGGCTGGGCGCGGCGGAGGTGGCCGAGGCGGTCGAGGCCCAGGAGGTTGCCGCCGTGGCCAGTCGCAAGGGCGACGCCGAAAGGATGAGCGACTTCCGAAGTGGACATGCGCATATTGCGGGTGCAAGACAGATGACCAATGGCTCACTTCTCTGCAAGCGCTGTCAGTAAGCGCGTGCTGAAGCTCCCACGGATTTGTAGGCTCTTGCTCTCCCAGGGAGAGCTGGCAGCGGCGAGCGTCGGAGTTCTCGTGGGGCGACCCGCCGTGCGTCATCTACGCATGGAGGTCGAGCAGCGGCCTCTGCGGCAGGCACGTCCGATGGCAAGTCCAGCGCCTCTGCCTCCATCGAGGATATGGAGTCAGGCATCTCCCTCGCTGAGCGTCTTGGCGACAAGGAGACGGCAGCCAAGTGCCGCGAGCAGCCGGAGGACCTCAAGCGCGAGCCCATGGGAACGCGCGCAGCAGGGTCACGAGCGGGTCCAGCAGCTTGCATAGATGCTATCGACAGAGCTGGAGAAGCTGGAGCAGTATCAGAGTTGGGTGGCCACCCAGTCCCAAGGTGTGCAGCACATCCAGAGTTCCCTCCAGGAAGCGGACGCCGAGTGCGCCGTGGTGGTCGCTTCGCAGGCAGTTTCGGTCAAGAACTCGAACGACGCCGCGGGCCTGCCCAAGAAGGTGCCGCTCGCCTCGGTGGTTGATGGTGAGTGCGGCGTCACGAACCCCATCGACTTTGAGGGCTTCTTCAATGTCGGCGACGAGTTGGAGCTGTCCAAGGAGGACATCGCCGAGATGGAGACGCGGAAGGAGCAGCTTCGCACGCAGATGCAGGCATCCACGACTGGCCTCTTCCAGTCCGCGATGGAAGAGGTTGAGAGTATCGAAGCAGAACATGCTGAACACGTCCAACGCTTGCGTCGGAATCGGATCAGAACCAGTGATGGAGAATCCCAAGCGCCAGCACCAGGTACGCCAGGTGGAGATCCAGGAGGTCAGGCAGCTGCCGCGGCTGCGAGGCCCGAGGATGGCGCTAGGGAAGGCGATGATCATGCAGCAGGAGGTCAGGGAGCAGGAAGTGGCAGCGCCAGCAGTGGTGCACGCAAGAGCCCAGCCAAGGTCACCTTCGCCCCGGCCGATGTCAGAAGCAAAGCGAGACAGATGCTATAAGGCGAAGGAGGAGCGAAAATACCAGGACCAGGTGCACCAGCGGCTGCCGCGGGTGCAGGTGAGGACGAGGGGCCGGGGAAGCACGGGGCCCAGCCCCCCGCTTGCGGCAACAAAGTCAGGTGAGTTGATCTTTGACAGTGCTAGCGGGAGGTCGAGTTTCTACGCCGACGATATCATGCATGTCCTTGGCATATGTAGTCCTGGGTGCAACCTTGGCGACCGCGTAGTGCGGACTGCGGCCTTTTCTCCTTCGTCAGCCTGCGCAGCTTTTACCTCGGCGGACGCGCCGCGTGAAGATGTCAGTGCGGCCTTTTGGCCGATGGGCGTCCAATGTGCCTGGCTCAGTCTTGTTTTCCTCGCAGGGGCCCGCCCGTGACGGTTTTGTTGAGTCTGTCGGCTCCCTCGTCGCGCGGTGCAGGGCGCGGCCCCTGACGAGCTTCCAGGTCTCCATGGGTGTGGGCCCTGGTGGGTCCGAAGGCGACGACGGCCAGTCAGTCACCTCGGCCTCGAGCCAGCCTGTCTCTTTTTTTGAAATGAACGGGGGCGCGTGCTGCCCGGCGCCTGTTCTCTCCGCAGTTTTCCAGCCCGACCCGCCCTCCGAGCTTCGCCGCGCGGTGGCGGAAGAAGGTGCGCGCAGATCGCTCTGCCTCGAGACCTGCAGCTGCGCCTCGCTCGTCCGGCTGAGGCGATGTCTGGAGACCGAGACCGGTGCGTCCATCATCTGCCTCCTTGCGGTCCTTCGGCTGGAACGCCTGCTTCCGCCCCTCGATCGAGACGGGCGCTGGGGGATTGTCTAGTGGGGTTGGGGCCGCCGTGCGTAGACGCATTGGTGTGGGCCATGTGCCTGCGCGTGGTAGGCCCCCCCCCCCCTTCCCCCGTCGGTGTGGCCTCGCCTGGGTCGATGCTTTCGCCCCTGGGGGTTTTGTTCTTGGGGGTATCTACATTCCCCTGGGTGACCCCCTCGGGGGGGGACGGGCCCCTCTAGCTCGGGCGCATGGGGGAGGTTCCGCGCGAGCTTGGGCCCCCTTCGGCATGGGGGGGGGGGCTGGGATTTCGAGCCCGCCGCGCTCCACGACGCCGGTTGGGTCGAGAGGCTCGGGGGGCAGGCGCGGCGCCGCAGGTCTCCGCGTGTCGCTCGGTTGCTCAGCGATGGGAGACTATCGACTATTTGGTGTGCGCGGCCGCCCTTGCGCCCACGGTGACGAGCGTGGGGCGTGGCGCGTCGGCCCCCGCTGGCCCTCGTTGGCCCGTCGCAGTCACCCTGTAAGGCAACCCATCGGATCGATGGGGTGTGGGCCCCCCCCCCGCCTTCTCCCTTTCCCCCGGGACGAGCCCGTTTGACCGAGCCCCCCTCCCCGATCATCAAGAGATATGCCAGTTGGCGGTGGCCCGGGGATCGAACTAGGGCCCGGGCTATTGCCGAACGCCAGTTCAGGACTTCTAGGGGGGCGCGATGGCGAGGGCGGGCCCGAGAGGCCGACAAGAATGGGGGAGGGGCCGCCCGTGAATGCACCGGGGCCCCCATCGGATGGCAGCATGAAGGAGCCAAGCCTGGAGCTCCCCCCTGGCCCTGGGGCCTTCATGGTCCACTTGCAAAGTGTTTTGGGGGATTTTTGGGCGCCCCCGCCCGAGGCCGCGGGCCTCCCTGATGCCATCCAGTATTTGGGCCACCAGATGGGAGATTTCAGAGGGTCGTCGGGCGCGCCTGGTGGGCTGGGGCCCGCCCTCCGACAGCCCGCGGGCGTGCGAGTAGCTGCCCGCCAGTTTACGAAGTGCGCGGCGCCTGGTTCTGATGCGGTTCACCCTCATGACCTGTCCAAGATTTCGGGCGCTGCGTTGGGGGCCCAGTGTGCGATCTGGCTCTGGTGCGAGTCCGAAGGCCGTATCCCGATCCAGCTGGCGCTCATGTTCGCAGCGCTGTTTCCCAAACCTGATCGAGGCTTTCGGCCCATTGGCCTGTTGCCTCGCATCTGCAAGGTTTCCGGGGAAGTCACTCGGGCCGAGGCCGTGGCTTGGGGGGGGCGCAAGGGGCGCCCCTGCCATTGCGGTGCTAAAGGGCGGAGTTGCGGGCGTGCGGTCTGGGGGCGAGCGCGAGCCGCCGAGTTTGGGGGCCTGGTCGGCATTGGAACGGGAGCGGTCCTGGTGGGCCTGGCGAAAGCCGGCGCAAAGGTTCTCCGCGTCCTGTTGGCCCGCGCGGCTGTGCGCCATGGCCGCCCCCCCCACCAAAAGGCTCAGGCCCCTCCTGTGCATGTGCTGGGCCCCCAGGTTGCTCCAGATGGGCCGCGCCGCCTCGGGGGTCATCCGCGCCTTCCAGCGGGTCATTGCTGGCTGTGCGCGCTACTAGCCCCGTGAAACTTACCCCCCTCGCCCCCGTAGACGCCGCGGGCATGACAGCTCGGCTTGGACCGAGACTCGGGCAGCGGCGCGGTACCTGCTCCTGCAGCTGCAGGGCTTGCACTTCGTCATTTCCAAAGATAAGGGTTTGATGATCGCTGCTGACAGCGCGGTGGGGGAGGAAATTATGGCGTGTATCGAGGACTGGAAGTTCCGAATGGCGGGGGCTACTTGGAACTTCGGGGTGGATTTTTCAATGAAGCAGCGCAATCGGTGCCTCCAGGTTCAGAAGGAGCGCATGGGGAGTTTGAAGCCGTGGGTCATGCGTTTTCGAGGGCCCCGCTCTTCCTTTAAGGGAGCCACGGGGGTGGTCAAGACTGGAGATCTGCCGTTCCTCGCGTATGGGAGTAGCGTTATAGGCATTGCTGACGCTAGGCTGAAGCAGATGCGCTCGTTGCTTGGTCAGTCCGTCTTTGGCGCCCCCAAAGGCAGATCCCGGGCCCTCGAGTATCAGTTGAGCGGAGGCCCCAAGGGCGGCCCCACCTTCTCCGCCAAGTTCGCCCCCCCTTCTGATGTGGGGCCAGGCCTTGCACGGGGGTTGGGCCCAGGAAAGCCAGCTTGAGAAGAGTTTCGATGCTTATGTGAATGCCCCTAACTTTGGGTGGGGCCAGGTCGCGGGGAACTGCTGGAGCTGTTGCGTGCGCCCTCCGTCGCCTTGGCTGGGTGGTTCGAGGTTGCCGAGACGAGGTCGCGAAACGCGGAATCTCTGTGGATCTTGGGTCCCTGGGCAAGAGGTCGTTGCGCGTCGTCATCGATCAGAATGCCCGGCGAGGGCTTGTCTAAAGTACCGCCGCCGAGGTCGGGGGTCTCTCGGCTGGGCCTATGCTCGAGCCCATTGTGAGTGAGCTCCAAGGCCTACGAGCGGCAGGCCGTGGAGCCGAGGCTGCGATGATTTCGGGAGTTGTAGCTGGAGGCTGCGCTACCCGTCAGGGCATATTCGAGGGGCGCCGCGTCCTGAGCCCGCTCTGTAAGTGGTGTGGCGCCCTGGTCGGCGCTCCGAAGCATGGATTTGTTGGCCGTGATGGCTGCCGTGCTGCGCGTGAGAATCTGGATTTGAAGGACTTTTTAGCGCGAGGCAGGGCGGTCAGAGACGACGAGCCTGGTTTCGCTCGTTCCTTGTTTCCGTCGCCTGAGTGGACGTGGCCCGCGCCTAGGGTCGATCTCGGCGTTCAATGGCTTGTGTGCCCCCCCTCTTGGGCCCATGCGTGCGAGATTTGCTGGGGCGGCTCGGCCCTGGGCCCAACCGGTGACCTGTTCGCTCGTGCGGGCTGGGAGGCTGGGGGGTCGTCGCCGTCGATGTCGGAGGTGACGTTGTCGGGTCCATGTGTGGCCACCTCCCCCGCCCGCTCCAGTCGGCGGGGGCGGGGGGGCATGTTCTCCTCGTGGCCTTTAGGCACTTGGGCCCTGGTGAGACTGAGATCGCCGCGGACTCATGGCGGTCCTAGACGTGCGGGTAAAAGGCCCGGAGCAAGACCTGGCCAATATCTCCTTCAGTGAGATCTGGTGCGGCATTTTCGCCGAGGCCAGGTGCGCAGGGATGCGCGCGAATCGCTTAACCAAGGTTAGAAGTTACCTGTCCAGGACCCAAGCCCTTGACCATGGAGTGCCTTTTGAATTTGGGCTGGGATCAAGCTAGGAGCTGAGTCGCATCCCCGCAGTCCGGCGGCTATCTGCCGCGCAGGAAGCAGATGTGAAGCAGAGTGTCGTCCTCATCCCTGAGACGATGAATTGCCTTTCCAAACTCGGCCTCCCAGGTGTTGAACAAGCGCGGGCCGAGGTGAGATCTCGTCCAGATCTTCTCGAACTGGTGCCTGAAGCGCTTGGCCACTCTGTGAGCCGCGTGAGCACGAAAGAACATGTGAATGCGGTCTGTGCGGGGAGACAGGTAGTCGTGCCAGTATATGTAGGTTCCCGTGCAGAGACATAACAAGGATGGGCCGTTCAGCGCGCGGCTCGCTTTCATTGTTGCTTGGTGGGGGTCGGCTCGTGTGGTGTGGTCGTTGTGGGGCCTTCGGGGCCCAGCGCTCGAATTACTTCACAGCTGAATGTCTTGGCCACGCTCGGGATAAGGACTCCCGCCTGAGCTTGAGGAAGCTCCGAGCGGGTGTAGATCCATCGTCCATCCGAGAGTTTGGGAGGAGTGTTGTTCTGCGGAGGTGATGGGCCGTCGTCGTCGTCTGATCTGGCGGCCGCCGCGACGGACGGGCGCGCTCACCCCCCGCCCTTCTTTTCCTTGTGCAGCATGCATGTCTCAGTGAGGGATCTTCCACATGATTGGAGAATCGGGAAATTAAAAGGCGGATGATGATGATGCTGATGATGATGATGATGATGATGATGATGATGATGATGATGAGGAGGAGGAGGAGGAGGAGGAGGAGGAGGAGGAGGAGGAGGAGGAGGAGGAGGAAGAGGAGAAAACCAACAGGACGGACCATACCGAGAGGATGAACAGGAGTGGCACGCGACGGTCACCAAGGAAAGCACTCGGAGAGACGGCGTGCCTTGAGCAGCCCTTGGGAAAGCCCGATGTTGGGCGAGAGGCCGAACGCCGGCACGGCACCCCCAGAGGTCACCCGGCGGGGTCGAGAGCGCAGCGCAGGCCAGTTGGCGGCCCGCCCACACGGGCAGAGCGCCGCGGAGGTGGGCCACCGGCCAGCCCGCGGACCCCGGAAACGGTTTTTGGCACGAGGGGTTCTTCATGCTTCGCCGCGCCTTCTGTTCCGACGCGCGGCCTTACGTCTTGGAGAGGGCGCCTCGGCCACCAGGGCAAGCGCCGCCTCGGGCGCGATGGGCTTGCCGTGGGTTTGCCGCGGTGCCGGCTTCGTTTGCCGGGGCGCGGGGCGCAGGGTTTGTTGTGGGTTTTACGTGGTGTCGGCTACGTCCACTTGGGCGCGTTCAGGACAAACGGCGCGGCGACATGTCTTGGGATCGCCCAGAGTTCCCCACTGTCCTCGTGTTCGGAGCGCGAGCCCACTGTCCTCATGCTCGGAGCTCGAGCACAGGGCTCGGCGGATGTGGCGGGCTGGGATCGGCAGCAGGCGGGGCAAGCGCGCTGGTGAGCCCACCGCGGGCTTCGGGGCGGAGGGCTGAGTGCCCCCGCCCAAACCCGGCAGCGAGTTCAGCGGACGTGGGCTGACTGCCAGCCTTAGCGCGCGAGGGCGGCCTGTCTTCACATCCTCTGTTGCCGAGCCGCGCCAGTGCCGAGGGGACAGCCGTTCGGTGCGTTGGGTTTTCTCCCGCAGGCCGTGCCAGGCCCCCGTCGGCCCGCGCCCTTTCTCTTCTCACGCGGGGGCGCCTTGCTCTGCAGGGTCTCGGCGCCGCAGCCATGGCGCAAACTGGGGAACCAGGGGTGCCCGCGGTTCGGTCGGTTCGGCTGCGTCGCAGGCGGTTGCGTTCGGTCGGCTCGGTTCGGTCGGTTGGTCGTGCTGCGTCGCTGCGCCCTTCTGGGCTGGCTGCGGCGCCCCATCTGGGCCGCCTTGGAGCTCTCTTGGGCCATCTTAAGGCCGTCTTGGAGGCCTCTGGACTTGTCTTGGGCAGACAGAAGCCCGACACGGCGAGAATACCCAAATCAGTCAAGAACCGTCGGGGACACATGAGTTTGACCTGACCTCTTCGGGCCCTCCTGGATATTCTCTTCGGACCGTATCGGAGGCCTTTCGGGCCGTTTCGAGGCCATCCTAGCCCGTCTTGGGCCGTCTTGGATGCATCTTGTTAGGTGCTCGATCATGGGCCCTTTCTGAACCGCAACTATCCAGCTTTCGCGCCGAACGCCGCAGGAAACCGCGGGAAACCGACGACGACCGCCGAATACCGTCAGAAAACCACCGAAGACCGCCGAAGACCGCCAGAATACCGCCGACGACCGCCGAAGACCGCCCAGGGCTGGTGGGTAACAAGGGGTACATCCTCGAATGCGTAAATCTCGGACCATCTTGGCGGCTTTGGTGGCCTGCCCCGTCTTCGAAGCCATCCTGTGCATCCCGGAGGCCCTGAAAGAACCCCATGTTGGCGTCGGGCCAGCGGCGTCGAGGTGCCTGGGGTAGGCTCGGGAGGCGCGGGGGGGGGGGCTCTCGCGAGGGAGCGCTGAGAGGGGGAGCGGCCTCTTTGAAGACTTGCAGGAACCTGGTCAGGCAGCACTTGCAAGTCTTCAACGAATTACCCCAGTGCGACCCTACCTAGAAGTTGGAGCCCCTAGGAAAGCAGCATTAGTTGCTATGCTGTGATATGCTATGCCATGCCATGCTATGCTGCGCTATGCTATGCTATGCTATGCTATGCTATGCTGCGCTACGCTATGATAGGCTATGCTATGCTACGCTATGCTATGTTATGTCATGCTGCACTGTGCTATGCTAAGCTATGCTATGCTATACTATGATATGCTAAGCTGCGTTATGCTGTGTTATGCTATGCTATGCTATGCCAGGCTAGGCTATGCTATGCTATGATATGCTGCGCTATGCTATGCTATGCTATGCTATGCTTGGCTATGCTATGATATGCTATGACATGCTATGATATGCTATGTTATGCTAATGCAGCGCTGCGCTATGCTAAGCTAAGTTAAGCTAATATGAAACTAAAATAAGCTAAGATTACACCCAGGCTATGATATGCGATGCTGCGCTATGCTATGCTACGCTACGCTATGCTATGCTGTGCTCTGCTATGCTAAAGCTCAGCGAAGCTAAGATGAAGGTAAGCTAAGCTAAGATAGAACTGAGGTAAGATGAAGCTAAGCTAAAGTAAGATGAAATAAGCTAAGCTAAGATGAGATAAGCAACGCGAAGCTAAGGGAACGTCACTGGGGGAACCGCGGGGCGGATGCCGGGGGAGCCGCCCGGGGCGAACCCCACTGCCCGGCCCTTTAAGCCTAATAGTAAGAACCCTTCTAGGCAGACCCCAGGTAGGGAATCAAAGTGACGCAAACATGAACCTTCGGAGCTCCTCGCTGATTTCTTGTATCGGCGCCGAGCCCCCCTTGCTCCGCCTCCGGCGCCGCCTCTGACGCGCTCCGCGCGCCAGGGAGGGTCCAGCACAGATCCAAGAAAATGCGTGCGGATTGTCGAAAGTCTATGTATGTGCAGGTTTTTCATCCTCTAACAGACGCGGCCAGGCAGCGCTGGCGATTCTGCCACGCCTCAACGTGCCAGGCACGCTGGCGGACACCCCAAAACTCAGAAAGGAATGCGCCAGGAAATTGGTGCACGCGTGGGCAGTTCCGCGTCGAATTTTTCCTCCGCGCTCTCCCTTCCTTCCCTCCCCTTTCTCTTCCCTTCTCAGTCCTCCTCCTCTCTCCTCTCTCCTCCCACTTCCTCGCTCTTTCTCCCTCCTCCTCCTCCTCCTCCTCGCTCCTCCTCCCTCCTCCTCTTTCCCCTTCCCCTCTGTCCCTGGGAGATCCTTGTGAGCAAGTTCGAGCAGGCCTACACCGACGCCGTGGTGGACGTCTACCAGCCCAAGATCTGCCTCTCCGTAATCGGCACCGCCTTCGAGGCGCTCTGGGTCGGTGGGAGGGAGGCCCCGCAGGAGGTGTGCCTTCAAGGCTCGAAGTGCGAGGTTTTCGGGTGTTCTCGTCGGTTCCTCGAGGTTTTCCAGCCTCGGCATGCTTTCCAGCACCCGCGCCTCGCCGAGAGCCTCCCCGGGGGTGCCCGAGTCGAGTCCTCCCGAGCGGCCGCGGGTGGCGGCCCGAGCTGTGGCCACCGGTGAGCCCGCCATGGAATCCCGAGCCGCCGCGTCGGAAAGCAAGCCCAAGACGAAAGGAGCCAGTCCCCGGGGGAGTGTCAGCCACGCGCAGAGGGAGGTGGGGGGAGGGGGGAGGGCTTCTTAGAAGCACCCCTGCTTCTTGGAAGCCGCGGGCCTTCTCTGCAGACGTAAGGCTGGCGCCTTCTAAGAAGCAGCCTCATTCTAAGAAGCCCTCCCCCTCCCTCCACCCCCTTGTGCGCGCCGCCAAGAGTGGTCGAGCCCTCGGCGGGCCCACGTTTTGAACAAGTCACGACGTCTGGGGCCCTTCGGGGGGCAGCGGAGCCCCCTCTCGGGCCCCAGCGCCAGCCCACGCGGCGGGCTCCAGCAGGGGCGCAGCCCCGTCTCCTCCTCCTCTCTCCTCCTCCTCCTCCTCCTCCTCCTCCTCCTCCTCCTCCTTCTCCTCCGTCTCCTCCTCCTCCTCCTCCTCCTCCTCCTCCTCCTCCGTCTCCTCCTCCTTCTCCTCCTCCTCCTCCTCCTCCTCCTCCGCAGAAGTTGCCAAGGCGTGGGGGGAGAGTGCGCCGCCCACGGGGCGCTCCACGGGGTGCGCGGCTGCGCCGGGCCCGCCGCCGCAGCGGGAGCGGGCGCGGCGCAGCCGGGCCTCTTATCCGCAAGGGCGGTGGGTCCCAAGGTGCGGGCCCGTGGGAGCGGTGGCTGGGGGCAGCAGTATTTTTGCTCCTTCTTTCTCGGGCCTCCAGGGGCCTCCTGGAGACGTCCAGAGACCCCTGGGAGGCTGCTTCACGGGAACGGGAAGGCGGAGGTGGACCGGCGGAGGAAGGGGGAGAGGAGGGAGGGGGAGAGGAGGGAGGGAGGGAGGGAGGGAGGAGGAGGAAGGGGGAGAGGATGGAGGGAGAAGGAGGAGGGGGGATGAGGAGGAGGAGAAGGAGAAGGAGGAGGAGGAGGAGGAGGAGGAGGAGGAGGAGGAGGAGGAGGAGGAGGAGGAGGAGGAGGGAGACACCTCCTGGGGCCAGGGGCTAGCGCCGACTTCGTCCTGGCGCGATCCTGCCGCCCACAGCCTGCGGGTCACCGGGCGGCAGTGTGAGCCCTGCGGCGCCGTGGCTCCCTGCCAGAGACGGGCCGGGGCAGGACGACGGCGACAGGACGAGGGGGATCCGAGGCCCGAAAACCAGCGCTTCACTAATTTTGGGCCCCAGGGCCCACTGAGGCCCCAGGGGCCCCAGATTAGTGAAGTGATGTTTCCTCCCACGTAAGGACCCCGAAATTCATCACTTCACGGAACCGAACCCAGGACGAAAGTCAGGGGCCGAATTGCTGCTGTGATGCCACATCGGCCTCGTAGGGGAGGCCGAGGGGGGGGGGGCAAGAGGGACCCTCCGTGCCCCAGCCCTCTTCTGGCAGGGCCACCGCGAGGGCGCGAAGTTCGTCGTGCTTTGCGCTTCGCGGCCTGGGCGATTTCAGCGTGAGGCGCGGGTCCCTCATCCTGTTCTGGAGGTGGGCGGCGCGAAAGCGCGGAGATAATCGTGCTTCGCGCTGCGTGGAGCGCGAAGCGCGAAGGTAGTTGCCCTGTCTTCTGCCTCATCTTTCCTCTGGCGACTTCGCCCGCTCCTCCTTCTCGCATGTTTTCTGCCCTCGCGCTTCAGTCTTGTCTGCTGTGGGGCAGTCCGCCGATCGGCGTGAGGGCGCGCTCCCTCTCGGAGCCCGGATCAGGCCAGGTCTTCACATTTCTCCTGCTCCCTCTCCCCGGGCTTCCCCCGCCGTCGTCGCCCACGCAGGTGCAGCGTGACTCGCGCAGCGCGTTCAACATCTTCGTGGGAGAGGACGACGCCTTCGCCAGTCTGCGGATGGCACATGCGTAATTCAAACGATGGGTCATTCCCCCGCCAGGTGGTTACCAAGGCAAGGCCAGTCACACACACACACACATGCGAGGCGTATTCTCAAATAGTACGGTCTCGCTCATTCTGTGTTCGATTCTGTGATCGATTTGTTGATGGCCGTACGTACACATGTCCTGTAAGCGGTACCCGGGTCACCAGGCCCATGGGCAGCCCACTTTTCCAAACCTCCCCCACCCCCCTGGGTACACACTTTCAGTGTCAAGTGTCTGGGGGTCCAGAGGGGGGGTGCCTGGTGGCCCCCGGACAGCGCTGGGGCGGCCTCAGTGGACCTCCAGCTGAACACAGACCGCCCAGGGACAGCAGGAACGCTTCCAGCACAGCCTAAGAGGCTCCCAATGTTGGACCAGAAGGCCCGACGATGACCTCTGAGAGGCTTCCGAAAGCCAAGCGATTTCGCAGAGTTTCTTTTGGTTATTGTCTGATTATCGTATCCTTTTTTTTCGGCTGTCAAAGCACTCAATAGGGTTCGGAAGGCATTAACTATCGCCCCAACGCGGCCCAAAATGGCTTCAAAAGGGCTTCAAGAGGGCACAAAGAAAGGCCCAAGAGCGGCTCCAGACAGCCCAGGAGGGCCCCGACGATACCCATGAGGGCCCCGCGGGAGCCTAAGACGGCCAAACGGCAAGAGCAGGAGGACGAGGAGGTAGGGTGACAAGGGGGGGGCGAGGGCGAGGAGGAAAAGGAGGAGGAGGAGGAGGAGGAGGAGGAGGAGGAGGAGGAGGAGGAGGAGGAGGAGGAAGATGAAGACAAGAAGGAAGAAGTGAAGGAAGATGAGACGGGGGAAGGCGAGGAACTGTTTCCTCTTGCTCCCTCGCCTCATATTCGTCCTACTTCGCCCTGAACCCCCTGGAATCCATTCTAAGACATTCAATACCGGCCGAAGACGGCCCAAGACCGACCCAAGAAGAATGACCTCTCCCTGACCGCCCTCCCGCGCGGGGAATCGCCGCAGGACTTCCCTGGTTAGGCGGATCCCAAACACCCAACCGCCCTGTTGAGAAATTCTCATCTGCTCGGTCCGCGCTCTTGCTCTTCATTCAAACCATGTTGGCGCCGTCTGTGGGTACGTACATGCGTGCAGCTGTAAGCTGTGAGGGGTCAAAAGCCACTACGGCATGCCGCGGTCTTTTGGCTCTGTCGCGGACATGGCGCGCGCATGCCAGATGAGCGTGCTCTGCCTGGAAAGCTCCTTCCACGGGGGCTTTCAGATAGAGGGCAAGGACAGGCAACTCCAGAATGCTTGTGGTCAGTCGGACTTCCTCCAGCGCCGCGGGCTGTGGGACAGGTGGTTCGTCGCAGCTATCCTTTCAGTGCTGATCCGAAACGAGAGCGCTCTCTGCCGACAGGGCATCACGCGGGCCAGCATCGCAGAGGAGGCGTCGGAGGGCAGGACGGGCTTCCAGGCGGCAGCCAGGGCGCACATAGGTAGCAGTGTCAGGACGTCAGCGCACTTCCAGATCAGGCACCAGATGGAGCAATGGTCGCTACACAGCTGTATCTGGATTGCGAAAAGAAGCAACATCAAACCAACACAGCTTTATATTGGGAGCGGGTTTCAATTCGCAAGCTGGGAGCCGCCACGATACAGATGACCCCAAGGTCATCGAAAGGTGTGGTCTGAGCAGCGAGAACTCTCGAGGCCAGTGAATGGAACAATGGGCAACTTTGGAGCAACTTGTGATCCGCAACACATTTTTCTCCAAGCCTCCAGAGAAGCGGCAGACTCATGTGGCCACCAAGGGACGGCCCAGGCCGATCGACTTCATTTTGGTAGACAGGAAATTTGGAAAAGAGTTCGAGATTTTGACTCTGGGGCGCACTTGGACCTCGGATCCGACCACGGTGCTGTCAGGCTCGTCGCTAGCAGGTGCATGACCTCGAACGCCACGCCCAAGAAGGATACCGCGAATGACCAGATCAAGAAGGTATCCTGGTGCACTGTATCCACAGCTGGTTTCTGCACCATTCTCACCAAAGAGCTCTGAGAGGCATCTTTTGAGCATGGGGCCAGCGATCGGACAGTCCAGGTAGAGGCTTCAATGTTGCAAGCTGCTGCTGCTAACTCTCGCAGGCGTGATCGAGAACGGCATCCCGGGTTGCTACGGTTGTTGTGGCGTCTGAGGGAGTTGATCCAGAAAAGAAAAAGCGTACCTCTGCAAGACACGCCGCAACGAGCCTTGGTGAGCAAGGCAATACAGAAGGCAGTCTGGGTAGTACGGCGAGCGGAAGCTGATGAACGCATCGGTGGCATGCTGGACAATTTCTTTGGGATCAAACACATACCAAAGGTGGGATCGAGTATGAAAACAGCGGATGGTGCCATGTATGGTCTGATGGAGACACTGTCGTCACATCTAGAGTTGGCATGGACAAATATTTTTGCTGATTCGTATGATACATTGTGCAGCTCGCAATGCGACGTACAATCAATATCTCCTCTGGCCAGCTTGGAACAAGCAGGCTTCATTCCAGCATTTTGCACAGGTGAGGACCAATCAGCTCTGAAGCAGACCAGGCGGAACAGGTGTCTAGATTGCCAAGGCATAGTCGGTGAGATGCTTGCTGCGGGCGGCGGGGCTTTGCTCGACGTTCTGACGTGCGTGTACAATGGCGTCGCGTCCGGCTTCAGCCTGAAGCCGGACGTGACGCCGCCGGCTACGTGGAAGCAAACTGTTATCAAAGTGATCTACAAGTCCGGAGACGAACGTCTAGTTGGTAACTGTAGGCCGATTGCGGTTGCCCCCGTCTTCTATAAAGTATTCTCGAGGCCTCTATACAGCGGGCTGTCGCCGATTCGAGGTGCCAACCAATGTTGCGACCAGGCTGGCTTCTGGAGCGCGTTCAGCACCGAAGATCATCTGTTCACTTTCGCGCTGATACAAGAGCAAGCAGAGGAATACCGGATGCCGCTTTGGTGCGCCGCTCTGGACTTTTTCAGAAGGCGCTCGACTCTGTCGAACACCAAGCTCGCTGGAACGCACTGGCAAAGCAGGACGTGCTTCTCCCGTACATCAAGCTACTCGCTCATGTGTACTGTGGGCAAGAGGGGGAAATGCGGACCGACGCCGCCAGCAGACGGTTCGAGATCACCAGAGGCACCAGGCAGGG